TAGGACGTGGACATCTTTTGGGGGCCATTATTCTGCCTACCACAGAGGTCAAACAGCTTCCTTTTAAGGTTGTGCCCTTAAAGTTGCACAAACAGACTCACTAACCTCCTGTTGGCCAGAATTTAGTCACAGGGTAGCATTGAACTGCAAGAGAGGTTGAGAAATACAGTCTCTCTAAGTAGGCAGCCATGTGCCTGGTTAAAGCATGGAGGAGTTCTATGACCAAGAGAAAGAAGGGGGAGAATGGATACTGGACAGCGATTTCTAGCCTGTGCCTCATCAGGCTCATTTGTTCTTGCCAGGACCTACTGTCCGTTTCCCTTCATTTTGCCCTCTTGGTGCTTTTGGCAAATTGCACTCACCTACTGGCCCTCAGTTGCCCTTCACGTGGGATTGGTTTCTAATTTATCAGAAGATATAGAATCGTTTCCTTAATGGACCATACTAGCTACCTTATAGTCACTTCTTTCCTGATCTTCATAAGAATTTTCTGATGTGAATAGCTGGGTTGCAAATGTTTCTACCTGGCCTCTGGTAACAGAGTTTCCTCATGCTTACTGGCTGACCCACATCGTGTGTGACCTACTCAGCCCACTGTCCATCATCTTGCTCTCTCTTCCCCACTCAGTGTCTTAGATCCTGCCCCTGTTATTGAATCTTGCCAGTTTTGGTCTCCACTGGCTTGGTCACCACTCTCAGTCCAAATCTTAGCTCTCCAACTCCTGCCCTTCACTCAACCCCTGCTCCGAGATGCTCAGAATTCAGTCCAGACTTCTCTATGTTGGTCCCTCACACACCTCAACAGATCTCCAAGTGCTTAGGTAGATGTGGTGTTCACTCAATTCAAATTTAGGAAACTATTAGAATAATTATAACAGAGGCAAAGAAAATGTATGCATGTGGATGCATGTAAGTTTTTTATAAGAATTAAAATGTATCTTCTAATCATATTATCAATTGACTATTTATCATGTATAGGTGCTTTACATACTTTATTTTTTTTTGGCTACTCACATCAAATTATCTTTCTTAGATGAGAGGCAGAGCCATGCCTTTACCATGAAAGCTGACGGAGCATCCTATGGGCAGAATACATGGATCTAAAACCAAGAGTGGAAATATATGTAGCCCTGCTCAAAATTATATCCAAATGATTCACAGGCAAAACTTTGCTTCCTATACCTATGACTATGGGCTCTGGTCTCTAAGGAAGTATGTTTTTACTAGATGACACGAGTTGTTCCACTGAATTGGAATAAATACCAATACCCAGCTATTTCAGGCTCCTCATGCTAAAGGATAAACAAGCCAAAAAAGTGTGTTGGGGGGCGGAGTATAATTTTGCCTGGGGTAATTGCCCTTGATCCTTAAAGGGCATTAGAGCTGATGGTACACAGTGGCCGCAGGGTGGGAGGTAAGACCGGGATCTGGAGAATCCAGTCCTGCCATGTCCCAGGGAAAGATGGAATGTGGGAGCACTATACCCCTGCACATGCAGGACCTCCAAAGGCTCAGAACCTTCAGGAAAGAAGGTTTGGGTCATTCCACCTGGGAAAGAGATGCTTGCTGAAGAGAGAGGGAACATGGGATGAGGAGTCAAGAAAGAAGATCGTAAATCCCAACTATAGCCTCTTGAGTAGTTACAGAAATGAAGTATGCAACCTGAATCTGTGTTTCTTAATATGTGATGTTTTGTATGTATTTATATATTTTTTAAACTTTATTTATTTATTTTTCACCACAAAGCCCCAGTAGATATGTATGTCATAATTCCACATCCTTCTAGTTGCTGTATATGGGCCTCGGCCTCAGCATGGCCGGAGAAGCGGTGCATCAGTGCGCGCCCGGAATCTGAACCCGGGCCGCCAGCAGTGGAGCGTGGGCATTCAACCGCTAAGCCACGGGGCTGGTCTGTACTTATATTTTTTATTATAAAATATAAAATATATTTGATTTCCTTTTTATCTCTCTTCTTTCCTCCACTATTCTATACTTGGTATATGTTGGTGGCGGACTTGATCATTTTGATTACAAGTTGTAGTACATCAGGGCAGAATTGTAACAGACATGGAAAAGGAACAGAGCGTAGCTGGAGACCAGAGCCTTAGAGCTGCATGCTCTCAGGGAGTGATGGGACTTTGGGTTGGATCCCTTGAAGACAGGGTGGATGTGCTTTCAGATGGCTGAATGAATGTACCCTTATCTTGGTGGAAACATTTGCCTTGTTTTTAGAGGAAAAAATGGGATAAAAATGTATTTTGATATTAAGAAGTCAAAGAGGTGAACTATAATGGAAATCTGTAATTTTCTGATGCTTGGCATCAAAATCCTTCCTATTTTGGAAGATTCAAAAGATACATGGAGGCAAAACTCCCCTCCCACGACCAAAGCTGGAGGGGCAGACATTCTCTCTTCTCATTCCCTGGCAGCCAGGGCACATGAAGAGGCTCAGTCAATTGGATATTTCTACCCGAGATTCTGAGTCATGAGAGAGGGACACAAGATCCAGAGACAGTCGGAAGTTAATGGGATGATGGAGAGTGTCCAGCAGGGCCAGCATCCTAACCTGAGTTTACTGAAGTGTGATCTTGGATATGTTCCCAGATGCATAATTGTCCTTGGTTACATTTTCTCCACCGATTTCTTCAATTTTATTTGCTATCAAATATTCTTTCAGTAAATTCCTTTCCTGCTTAATAAACTATCATTGGTTTTCAGTGTTTGCAACCAAGAACTCAGAATGGTAAGATCCTAATATTTAATTGGCTTTTTATCGTTAGTTATTTGGATTCTTTGCAATTTTAAAATAAGTAGTGCTGCAATGAATTACCCACAAAGCTTTTTCCCCCTGAATTTAAGATTTTCCTAATGCACAGTTTCAACTGGTCTTAAGACAGATTTTGCTACACATTGTCAAATTACTTTGCAATGTATGAGAGACTGTTTCACTTTACATCTTGAACAACTGATGGAGCAAGTAATAGAAGCTAGGATGATTTATTTGACATTACTGAGGAATGAGATTTTTCACATATGTACATTTTTTTTTAAGAATAACCAAAGCTTATTATTTTCAACACCAAACTTGAGAAAGCATAACCAGTTTTAATTGCAATCTTTCCAAAGTACATCACATACTTCCTAACCTCATCCAGCTGCAACCCCCAGAGGCCCACAGACACGATGGGTTTATCTTGCCCTTGCACTTGATTCCCCGAATGACTGTGCTTTCCTCATGGCTGGGGAATTTTCTGTCTCCAGAACTCAACAGCCTCCCAGTAAGAGCACAGAAACTCTTTCCTCTTTAACCCTTTCCTTGCTCTCTGGCGGGTTACTTGTATAATCTCTGAGCACTGAAAAAGTGGAATATTTGAATGTTGCTATTGCAAACAGATAACCGTGCTTGTAAAACTTAGTCTATCATTTGTACAAAATGAAAGTCAGTATCCTGGTGGGAAAGCTGGAGTGCATTCCACCCTCTACATTGGAGTAAACAACTTAGATTTTGTGACAGCAAATTTTTCGACTCTCTGGTTCATTCTGTGTGCCATTCCTTGGTGGAGGTTCCCAAAAGCCTTAAGTGCTGGATCTGTGGAGCGTTACAATCATATTTCAAGAGAGATTTCTGGGTGGTCCTTCCTGTAGAAAAGTTTCATTCCATTCTTCAGGATCTCCAGGGAAACTGCAATTTTCCTTAATAAAGTACATTTTAAGAAATTTCAGGGCCGGCCCCGTGGCTTAACGGTTAAGTGCGCGCGCTCCGCTACTGGTGGCCCGGGTTCGGATCCCGGGCGTGCACCGATGCACCGCTTCTCCGGCCATGCTGAGGCCGCGTCCCACACACAGCAACTAGAGAGATATGCATCTATGACATACAACTATGTACTGGGGCTTTGGGGGAAAAAAAGGAGGAGAATTTGCAATAGATGTTAGCTCAGAGCCGGTCTTCCTCAGCAAAAAGAGGAGGATTAGCACAGATATTAGCTCAGGGCTGATCTTCCTCACAAAAAAAAAAAAAAAGAAATTTCATATTTATGTGTAACCCTCAAACCTCTTTGTTGAATTTTTAAATCCATTTTTTATGAGTCAGTCCTTAAGAGAAGTGGCTCCGGCTGCTTTTCCTCTTTCATACATCAGTTTCATGTATATTTTTTCTTATTCAAAAATGTGGGGCCAAATTCCTTTAAAATCCCTCTGATGGATAGCTTTCACAAACAGAAGCAATGAGCTCTATTACATAGCATACATGGAAAAAAATTACTGTGAAATCATAGACCATTTTGAAATGACACATTTTGTACTAAACAACACAATTGCTAGTCTTGTAAAAATAAGTAACAGATTTTACAGCAAAAATGCTTGTAGACAAATTATGAAAAGTAGTTCAATATTTATCCTTTTGAATATTGTTCCAGTGCCATTTGGGGAAGACGGAATCCTTTGGTTGGGAGAATGAATACGCAGGAAAGCGGGTGTAAGAACAAGTTACATTTTGAATTGTATGCATTTTGTTTGGAAGAGAATAGTTTTACAGATAAAGTAATAAAAATAAAATACAGGACCTTCTAGTACATTCCATCCATACTTATTCCATCCTAGTATGAGATATTGATTTATTTATTTTAATTTAATTTGTTTAAATTAATTTATTTTCCCGTGGTAAGAACATTTAATATGACATCTACCCTCTTAACACATTTTTCGGTATACAGTACAGTACTGTTGGCTGTAGGAACAATGTTGGACAGATCTCTAGAACTTATTCATCTTGCTTAACTGAAACTTTATGCCCACTGATTAATAACTCCCCATTCCCCCAGTCCCCAGCTGCTGGCAATGTATTTAAAGTTTAGGTTCATTTGACTGAAATGAGTATCAGTAAATAGAATACTTAATTAGATTTGCACTTGTCATAGGTAACTAATTATTTTTAAGTCATGAAAGGAAAGGAAGGCAAAGGAAAGTTTTCTGAGACCAGAGACAACCTCTTGACTCCTCCTTCTATTCCATAGCAAGTGGCGTTTCTGTGGCCCGGTTCCACTCCCCAGCCACACTGGGCAGATCCGCAGCAAGCAGAGACCTCAGGGAAGGAGGCAGAAGAGGCTGACCAGTTGTGTTTCCCAAGTTCAGCATAGCTCCTCAGGTTTGCGTATCAGAAGCCAGAAAAGAAGGCACAGGTGATTTTGCACTTGAGCTCTACCTAACTATAGCATGTAGCATATTTATTTTCCTGCTCAACGATTTCATTTCTAAGGGCAATGACTTGATCTTCCAACTGCTGCAGTTGATTAGCTTTTTCTTGTCTACTTAGATTCAAATCTTCGATCTTCTTTTCTAAATCTGAAAGAAGAAAATGAAGTAAATGATGTATTTCCATTTGATAGATTCCTCCTGGATACCCACACTATACTAAACACAGGGATTTATATGTCTCTTAAAGATATATTTAGTTTTGTGTTTTGATTCAATAGATAAAATATTTATTTTCACTAGACTTCTCAATGTTTTTACATAAATCAGAGTAGACAAACTGATATTTTTGTCTAAAATATATTTTATATCTCAAGTCATTTATCAATGTGAGTCTATAGCTAGTCAGAATTGATTAGAAATGAAAAGACAGATGACAAGCCTTGATTGGATTTGGTAAAGTGCTAAAAAATACTGACATTTTCATTTCTTCATTCTCCTTTGCTGATATTGAAGTCCCTGAACAGTAAAAGCAAAGTCATGCCTTTCACTCTTACCCATCCATCCATCCATTCATCCATCCATCCATCCATCCATTTACCCATTCTTCATTCAACAAATACCTGAGAATTATATTAAACCCTAACAAGGAGCCCATAAAGTAGTGGACCGAAGAGGTATAGAGAGCTACAGTCAACAGTGTGAGGTGGCCTTTAGAAAAGAAATTGACCTTAGGTAGGAGTGGAACTTCTAAAAGGAAGGTAAATATTCCACTTCACTTGGTCATATCACACCCGGATACTCAGTTGGCTTGGGGTAATTGTCAAACTAGCATGTAGCACGTGTTTAGAGGAAGGAACCAGATTGCTGAGGAAATCTGAAATTGTCCTGTGAACAAAAGTTGAATTAACTGGTGATGTTTCATATAGAGAAAGAAGATTCAGGGCATGTGCTATAGCTATTTTCAAGTATTTGAGGGCCAGAAAAGCAGAGTAAATGTGTTTTTTGTTATCCTGAGGAAATAGAATGAAACCAGCAGGTGAAAGCTCCACAAAGGAAGATTTTGTCTGAATGTAAAGAACTTTCTAGAAGTCACAGCTGTTCAAAGACTAAAGAGCTTCTATGGAAGGTGGTGAGCATTCTATCACTAGACACTTTCAATTTTAGCTTATTTGGGATTGAAAAGGGAATTCAGTATTGGAAGTGTATTTGTACTAAAAGAAAAAAAGATCCATGTTTCTACTAGGTAAGTTAACAGGATTGTGCTGGTTACTTTTCGTTTGCTCCACCAGACCCATTCTCCATCCTGCTCTGTGTCCTGGAAAGCTAGCCTTTGTGGATGACATCACCTGGCTCCCTTGACCTCTGGCTTTCATTCACACTTGGCCACTGGACAGTTCTGAGAAGTGATCAGAGGGTGGGAAGAGCGAGCAGACTCTGTTGAGCAGCAGGGTTCTGGCAGTTCTTACATCTCTCAACTCCAGCTCCTGCAAGGTGGCCTCTTCCCTTCCGCTCCAGCATTCACAGAGCTACTTCACAGCATTCACACTCCTGCTTCCCCCTGCTCCTTTAGGCCCAGGATGCTAATGGCTTCTCACTGCTGCTAGTCATCTACCCAGTACCTCCACACCCTTAGCTGATTCTCTTAATTCCCGTGCATTTTTTGTAGTTCCTCCCATCAAGAAGTCGAGTCTATTTGCAACCAGGTCTGGCTTTGCAAGTTGTTTTAACCAACAGGAAGTAGAAGAAATGATGTTGCAGGACCTCAAGAGCCTCGCAGCTTCTCTGCTCATTCTCACGGAACCCTGAAACAACCGTGCTGTGAAGTAGCCTGGGATGAAAGACCCTGTAGAGAGAGGTCCAGCATCTTGGCCAAGCCTGGCCCCTGGCAGACCTGCCAGCTGATTCATCAGCCAAATGCAGCTGCTTGAATAGACAATGGAGACAACTCTGCTTATAAATACAGGATCCAGAATTACATCCAAGTGTGCTTTCTGTTTCCTGCTGGGAAGGTGACGGACACAAAGTTCTGTGGAGGGACCCTGGCTGCGGACTGGGGCCCAATCTCCACTCTCTGCGTTTTGCCCCTGCTAAGGTAAGTAAGGGCTCCTTTCTGAGATCCCATGGGCATCTCTTCCTAACAGATGGAATAGAGCACAGCCCCTGTGGTTCAGCCCCTTCTCGAGTGGCAGAGTGGGGAAGATGGCCAAACCAATGTCTTATTTTCCTATCTCGTTGAGTTGTGAAAACAGCTTTAACATGAAAAGAGAAAAAGTGGAACACATTATTATAGACTTCTTTGAAGAGACATCCCCTAACTGCAACTTCTCTTCCAAACTAATTTCAAGAACTGTGAAAGTTTTAGTCTATGGGGATAAGTGGAAAGACTTTGGACCCTGACATACAATATAAGACAGAAAATGTTCTCCCCATGTTTTTGCTCCTATAGTTAAGGACTGAGGTCTGGGAATAACAGAAACCGATTTTCATGATATTGCCCATGGAGTGTAAGGTAAAAAAAATTCTGTCTGTCTTTTTTATGCTTTCCTAGTATTTCTCTTTTAAAATTATTAGGTAAATACTGAAAATGAAAGAAATATTACCCACAAGCTCACTACTTTTAGAACAATTTATAAATGTAAAAAGTGTTTCCCTCTTCACTCTCCCTCTCCCCGGAGATAACTAATGTTAACAGTTTGGTATGTATTTTTCCCGACTTTGGCCCACACTAATGTTGCATTTTCATTTTTTTCATGTCACAGTGATGATTGTAAGGCCAAAGACTCATTTTACAACAAAGAAGCATTTATAAGTGAGGAGTTTTGGTTATTTTAATATTTTGAGAGTTATTGATATTCCAAACTAATATGATTAATTTTAAAGTTTTGGGAGACTATAAATACAACCAAAAGTAAAACTAGACCACTCATCATTTAACATTTCTTGATGATTTGGAGGTAGTTAAGGATACGAGGATTGTCCAGAAAAATCATGAGTATCCATTGTGAAAAAAAGATTCTGAGTAACTTTCTGATTGTACATATTCTACGTTCACTACACTTTGTGTACATCAAAATTTCCATTTTGATCAAAATCCTTGTCCAGAATATGATTCCTTCCAGATTACTACCTACAGATCTATGCTAGATGACCCAGTGCCCTGGAGTCTAGATCATCCTGACTCCAGAAGAGTTATTTGCATGAGAGGACAGAGGAAGAACCATGGATTAGGACAGGGTTTTGCAACCGCATCACTATTGATATTTTGGCCAGAATAACTGTGTGTCATGGGGGGACATCTTGTGCATTACAGGATGTTTAGCAACATCCCTGGCCTCCATCCACTAGATGCCAGTTGTACCCTCTAGTTGTGACAAGCAGAAATGTCTTCAGATGTTTTTGTCCCCAGGGGAGTGGATATAATCACCCCTGGTTGAGAACCACTGGGTTAGGAAAAGGGGATTTCAAGGTGACCAAAGGCAATCTTAGTTTGTTCTGATTAATGAAGAATGGATGCTCATTAACGCCCTTGGAAGTGAAACCACACAAGAGGCTTGTTACATGGCAGTCCCCAAAGCACAAACCCAATTCCTACTTCTCTCCTCAGTGATCTCATATGTGGTTAAATTGTGTCAACGATAAATTGAAATTGGTATCAATTCTACCAGGAGGGTGGAGAATGACATTGTTATTGTCAGATTGGTGGAGTGGATAAAAGAGTAGTTAGAACTACCATATGATCGAGCAATCTCTCTTCTGGGTATATATCCAAAGGAAATGAAATCTGTATCTCAAAGAGTTATCTGGACTCCCATGTTCATTGCAGCATTATTCACAATAGACAAGACATGAAAACAAACTGAGTGTCTGTCAACAGATGAATGGATAAAAAAAATGTGATCAATCTATCTATCTATCCCCCATCATCAGAAAATATTTGTAAAACATGTACACATGCGTGATGTTTGTCTGATCCCGTTCATCTATCTATCATCCTATCTATCTATCTATCTATCTATCTATCTATCTATCTATCTATCTACCTACCTGCCTACCTACCTACCTATCCCCAGGGGCTGGAGGTGGGGGAAATGGAGAGATCTGGGTCAAAGGGTACACACTTTCAGTTGTAAGATGAATGAGTTTTGGGGATCTAATGTACAGCATGGTGCTGACTATAGTTAAAAATATTGTGTTATGTATATGAGTAGATCTTAAGTATATTCACCACAAAAAGAAAAAAGGTAACTATGTGAAGTGATGGATGTGTTAATTAACCGAATTGTGGTAATCATTTCACAATGTATACGTCTATCAAATCATTACTTTGTACACTTTAAATATCTACTTCTATTTGTCAATTATAACTCAATGGAGCTGGAAAAAAAGAACAGATACCTGTTATTCTTCTTATCTTGTCCTCTGTATCTCCAGCCAATTTTTCTGCTGCATCTTTTAGCTGTTTCACTTTTCCCAATGTTTCCTTTGTCAGTCCTGTAGTGCTTGTCTTATGTTGAAGAATAGCATATTGATTTTTTAGCTCAACAAACTCCTGTAACAGAGTAACACTCCCATCATCAAAAGTATTTATAAGGCAAATACACATGCATGATGTTTGCCTAATACTGTTCATAAAAGGTATAAGAGGAAACCATAATCCAGTCAATATGCTTGAGTCACTCTGATATTTCTAACAGGGCTTTTATTTGCACGGTTTGTTTATTTTCAGGTTGAAAAAAATCTCAGCTTTAGTTAATTAAAACTTTGTTATAAAATATCAGTCATTATTCCATGTTAAGGCGACTCTTTCTGAGGCACTAATTGTCTTGAACTATGTTGAGGTGAGAGGTACAGAGGACAGAGCTGACCCAGTCCTGTCCTTGACAAATCTTTGGTTCAGTTGGGTCAAACAGTTGCACGTGCAAGATGAGGGACGGAGTGAGTGGTGAAGATTTAGAGGCAGCAAGGATACATTATTTGGTTGGCACAAAGGTAAGAGAGAAACGAGGTAGGAAGGGAAGTAGAAGTGTTAGTATGAAGATCTCCCTTAGAATTAGAATGGAAATCTTTGGGGTGAGCCTGTGTGGTTGACAACCTAGAATGTTAAACAGATGAATAAAGGCAGACCCAGGAATGGAATATGGAAGTAGGCAGAGGGTGGGCAGAAATCACCTTTCTCAACCTCTGTTCCATAGAAAATGTTCTCAACTCCCAAGTCAGTGGGAAATTCACCCACATTAGGAATAAAAAGCAAGAGAATAGACCAATTGTAAAAAACACTTGAACACTTTTCTTTTGTTTAAGCTACTATATTAATGTGACCAACCAAAGATATCCTGCTAAGAAAATGAGTTGATAGGTTCTTTCAGCAACCTAAATTAATGGGCCATTTTCCACAACTGTTTAATTAACTCACTCTGATTTTTGTAACTTGATCTATTCTCTTTGGCAGGTGATTTTCACTTCTTGTTTCCTTTACATGTTATGTGACTTAATTAGAGTAAAGGGCAAATACCTACAATATAGACTAACGACATAAATTGTGAAAGTTTGGAAGTTCAGGAAAAATTTAACCAGGACACCACTAAGAATCCTAGGGTGAGGAGATAGGGGAGTAGACTCTCCAATATGATTTGGCCAAAGGGCTTCTATCTTCTCTGGAGACAGCTCTCCACTCCAGAGAACCTTCGTGCCCATAGGGATCCCTACATACACCACTGAGCATGGGCCAGCACTAAAGGAAACATTGATAAATGGTACAAAAATCTGGGGATTATCCAGATTTTTGTGGATTTGAGGATTATCCTTCAAAGGAGCACTGTTCGTCTACTCTTGGTGGCAGTGGTAGGACTAATGACCTCCTCAAGGCCACCAGCCTGGCGTTGGCCTGATTCAGCCTGAGCTTTCACACGGGTGGCTTGGTCTCGATTGCTTTGTAACTTGGTCCACAGCCGGGAAAGTCCATCCTTCAGGGCTGACTGTTGCTTCGCTAAGTCCAGCTCATTCTTAGTCTCCTTGGCTTGATTTTCAGCCTGTTGTTGATTTAAAGACCAGAAAACAGAAAATCTCTTTATGTAACAAGAAACAAACAAGAAAATAAATAATATAATTGCCCCTCAGAAAATAAGCTAGGTATAAAGGGAAAGAAAATGATTCCATCGCTTTTTCTGTTCCATTTATAAAAAGAAGTTATAATAAACTATTTCAGACATACAAAAGGGTCTAGAAGAAAACAGACACATATCCATGTGCCCACCAGCCAGTGTAAGAAGAAAGCATTGCCAGTGACCCAAGGCCCTCAGGGTTCCACTCCCCATCATATCTTCTCTCTCTCCCCCTAAAGGTCACCACTATTCTAAATCTAATATTTGTCATTCCATGTACTTTGACATGCTTTTTATGATATCCTATGCAGTATTTCTAACAATATACTGTGTTTTCTATTTTTTAACTTTATAGAAATATATCATACTGTATATTTCTGCAACTTGAATTTTTTAATTCAAAATATGCTTGTACAGGTCATCTAACTTAATTTGCACAGCTCTTGTTTATTCATTTTTACCAATTTAAAGCATTCCATTGTTGGAATATACAACAGTTTATTTTTCTATTCTCTGGCTCATGCAAGTGGCTTCTAATTTTTTTTCCTTTACAAACAATAATGAACGTCTTATACCTTTTTCTTACTTCAGTGACTATACTTGTCATATCTAGGAGTCCTATTCAAATATTTTCTACATCTGACTGGCCATTTGTTACCTCTTGTCTCTTGTTCTTTGGTCAAGCTTTCATACCTTCTTTTATTTCCTTAAACACAATAAATATTCCTATTTTGTATTCTACAACCAGTAACGGTAATATCTGCTGTCTTGCATTCTGATTCTGTTGTTTATTCTTTCCTATGATTCTTGCTTAAGGAAATTTGTTTCTTCATGTGTTTTGGGGGAATACTTTGAGGCTTAGTTTTAAGGTACATTCCTCCGGAGGGGATTTCTGTTTGCCTCTGTTGGCATCTGAAGGCATTGCCAACCCAGCACCACTTTAAATGACATTTTTAGCTTGGATTGTTGGTGCTACCCAGGTAGTGTGAACTCTAGCCCCAAACTCATGTGAGAGCCAGCTTGTGGGGTTAGCAATTAGTGAAGACTTTCCTCCTCCACCCAGAGGCAAGTGTCTTTACTGGCTCTGGCTCTCTCTCTCTCCCTCTCTGTCACTCTCTGTATGTGTATGTATAATAGTATAACATTTCACTGGGGTTTTTGCCTTTTGAGGTCCCAGCTCTATGCAGGGATCTTATTCCCTCCTTGCGTGAGCTTTGTATTCTGTCTGTAATGCATGGTGGCCATTTAAACCAACAGCTCGACCACATCAGGGATTGGCAGATGCCCACTGCCTGCTGTCAGGTTCATGCTTGATTACCTTTCTAGTTTATGCTTTCCTGTCATTTTTTGGCCTCTGAGGATTTCCTAAATTTCTTACTAATTCACCTATGCATTTAAAAAATTTTAAATATCTTATCTAACACTTTCAGCTTTTTTTCTACTAGGAGGGTTTCTTAGGGTACTGGGTCCACCATATTTTGAGAAATGGAAGTCCCTTCTAGTGCTCTCAGGCATAGGAGTTTTCCTAGAGCAGTAATCTGCAAACGTTTTCTGTAAAGGGTCAGATAGTAAATATTTTACACTTATGGCCCATACAGTCTCTATTGCAACTATTCAAATCTATGCCATTGTAGCACAAAAGCAGCCATAGACAATATGTGGCTATATTCAATTAAACTTTGTGACTTTGGATACAAAAAGAGTTAGTGGGCCCATTTAGCCCATGGGCTGTATTTTGCCAAGCCCTGTTCTAGAGTACATGCCTAGAAAGGGAACACCTGGAGGCCTTCTTTATTCTTCTGCTACCCTATATATGCATCCTCTTTGTATCTAATCTTTTTATTTCTTAGTGAGCTACTTCCTGTTCTGTTGCTTTCTGCTTCTCTTCTCAAGATGCATGTATTTAGATATACACAACACAGCTGAAGAAGAGAGACTGAGTAACTCACAATCTTCTGGGAAGAGGATGTGCTGGAGGATGGAGCCTTGGAGGAAGAGACTCACACGCCCTGGGACTAGGTCCTGTCCTGTCCTCCAACTGCCAGGCTTCCTCTCCCGGATCCATCACGTGGGTTAAATCATGGCCTTGCTTCTGCCCAACTCTGGACGGAACCCTTTCTTTTGAGTAAGATATTCTTTCAGTCTTAGGATACTCTGATGAGATTTTATGCAAATTTAGTTACAATAACCTGGCAACAATTAACTTTATTTCTTTGGTTTGTGAGCTTTAAAAAGTCTATTACTTTCCTTGGTATCAGAAAGGATAAACTCTGGCCTCAAATCTACCATTAACTAGCTGTGTGACCTTAGGCAAGTCACTTTACCTCCTTGAGTCTTAGTTTCCTCATTTACAAGCTGGTGGCAGTGCCTGCTTCTTCCCCCAGGATTGATCAACAATGAAATGAAATGATGCTGGGAGACCTCTGTAGAACATTAATTAAATGCACAATATTACCACAATCTTATTTTATCCTCCTAGTAATCTCATCAGACAGGTAAGGCAAGCGTGACATTGACATACATAAAAACTGTGCTGCTTTCACACTCAAAATCTATTTCAGGTTAGTTTCAAAGAAGATAGACAAATACCTGCAGTACATTCTTTTTTATTTTTGTTATCTTGGCAGTCAGCTGTGTGATGGTAGAATTTGCCCATCCTTGAGCAATTTGAACTTGTTGCAACTTATTCAACATTTTGTCAAGATTTAATAGAACATTTGCTGCTTTCCTACGGTAAGATATTAACATATCAGATTAGACAAATATACAATTATTCATTTATTTCACCTTGAGAGTTCATTCGACTCAACCAAAAACTTTATTGAATTATTTATAAAGTAAATTTAAATTACTCTTAAGCAAGGCAAAGTGCTGAGGTCTTCATTTTGAGAAATAGGTATACTTAAATGCCAAGAAAAACACAGATAAATGCATACCCAATAGATACAGATTTTGCCAGATATGGAAATGGAGGATACTGTCTTGTTTCTTCTTAATTTGTCATAAGCAGAGAGGTTTGGGGGATATAACTACCAAGCTTTGGACAAAAAAACTATCCTCAGCCAATTCCAGTGCCCTAATTTCTCAAACTTAAGCAACACTCTCTAAATCCTTATCAGAGTGGGGGTGGGCGAGTCAAGAGGCTCCACAGAGGGCAAAGAGAACTAAAAGGCCCTGCATGTTCAGGCTGTGTTTATTCAGGTTTATTTAAGCTTCACTGACATTCCAGCCGCCCAGGGGCCCAGTCAGAGGTTAAAATCACAAGCATTCCAAGTGATAGTCTATTTTACAGAAACAAGCTCACCTCAAGTCAACATTCACCAGATACTTAGATCTATGGGCTCAAAACCACCTTTGGAAGAATGTACCAAGTGAGTGAAATGTCAGACAGACCTTTGCAGAGGCGTAACTGCAAATGCTTGTGCCCAGAGCAAAAATAGAGATACTGCAAAACATCCCCTTCCCCATCCAACCCATCCTCTCCTCCCAGTGATAATCTCTCTTTCTTTTTTCAAAAGACTATTTTTTAGAGCAGTTTTAGGTTCACAGCAAAATTGAGAGGAAGGTACAGAGATTTCCCATATACCTCCTGCCCCCATACATGCATATCCTACTCCATTATCTACACACCTCGCCAGAGGGTACATTTGTTACAGTTGATGAACCTACATTGACACATCATAATCACCCAAAGTCCACAGTTTACATTAGGGTTCACTCTTGGTATCATCCATTCTATGGGTTCAGACAAATGTATAATGACATGTATCCATCATTATAGTATCATATACAGTATTTTCACTGTTGTAAAATTTCTCTGTGCTTTGCCTATTCATCTGCCCCCATAACCCCTGGCAACCACTGATCTTTTTACTGTCTCCATAATTTTGCCTTTTCCAGAATGTCCTTTAGTTGGAATCATATAGTATGTAATCTTCTCTTTCTATACTTCTTTCCCTCCGGTTACAGTGGGGGTTCAGGAGCCTTCCCTTCTCATAACACCCTCCCCCAATATCTGTACTCTTTGTTTTTCCTTTAGATTTTCAATGTACATAATATAAATTTAGAAAGTATCGAAAGAAAAAATATAAGGAATGGAAAAATTTATCAGTAATCCTACTACCCTTTGAAATATTGGCATATTGTAACATTTTTGTCCCACGAAGTTTTTTCTTTTCATGATTGAGATCCTTTCCATGTACAATCTGTTACCTTCTTTTTAAAAGCATTAACATTACACTGTAAGAATCTCTGCATGTTATTAAACATCCTTCATCAACATCATTTCTAATAGCTGTGTGATTGTACTGCACTTACTTAACCTTCCTAGCTTTAAATATTAAAACTGGAAGGAGTTGGACATTCAGTTGAGTCTGGTACAATTCATTTATATAAGTGGATGATGAGACAGTGAAGGCAATTCAGGTCTCAACTCTGCGGGGCATCCAAAAATGGGGGTGGATGTTGAAGACGCTACCATCATCCAACCTACCCTACGACCCTGCCCCACAGCACCCCATGTTCATAAAAACATCAAAATGGCTTTCCTTTTTGCTTGGCTAAGTCAACAAGAGCAAAAGGAAGCAAGAATTAGTTAACTCTGTGTACCATGTGTATCATTTACTCCTGTATTATTCCTGCGGCACTAGTGTTCATTTCCTCTATTCCTCACCACCATATGTTTTTAGTGTAATCTTTTTCTTTTTTAATTTAGATTTCCAAAATACTGCTCACTATAGTAAATTTAGAAAGTACCCAAAATAGGTAAACAAGAAGGGAAGGATATGCAGATATTCCCACCACCTGTTAAGATATTGGCATCTAATTAGTACGTGGCATTTATTGGTATATGTTGATATCAAGAGGGAACAGATCACTGGGAAGGCATTCAGAGTCTAAGGAAAACAGGAAACAAGCATCCTAGCATGCTGCCTTCCAATTTCCCAGCTTCCTGGGGCACCTCCACACACAGCTTAGCCCTCAATTTGGGCAATGAAGTATTGGAGAGTAATTTCATTTGACCGAGCTCCTAAGGCAAATATTTTTCAGACGGCCTTTTAGCAGATGGCCTGTTAAAGCAAGATGAGAACATTAAAACTGTACTTACTCAGCTACTTTTGCCTTCACCAAAACCCTTTGGGCTCTATCTGCTGCTTTATTTAGCCTGTTCTCTTCTGTCCTATAGTCCTCACAGAGTTGCATAAGTTTACGTATTTTGTTGAGCACATGGGTTAGATTTTGTGATGTTATTGGTAGGTGGATGTCAAGTACACGGTTTGCAACCTTCTCTATGTCCTCTGGAGGCACGTTTTCCTCTTAAAAAAAGAAGGTGGGTCTTAGGTAATTGTGTCTCCTTATCAAACACTGTATCTTGTAAATATAACCACACTGAGTTCTAAACCAAATGCACCTGCATTGGATTATGTATCTCTAGAATACAGGGATTAGATTGTATATGTCCCATCGAGTCTTCTTCGTCCTCCATTTTCCCTTCTTTCTGAAAGAAACACTGCTGATGTAGTGCTGAGTATGTGCGGAATGAATGCTTGTTAGAAAAATAAAAACTACGGTCTTGGGATATTGTGTATGTTCTACAAAATGTCTTTGCAAGAACCATTTATTTAAGTGCAGATTCAAAAGCAATTAAAATGTTTAGATGCCTGTCATTAAGATTTAAACACAATGAAGGAGACAATGGGGCAGCACTGAGTTTGGACTCTACAAAACTCCATTCTAATCCTCCATGACATTAAAAAGGCTCACAATGTTCGCTCATCTGTGTAATCGGGTAACTATACCCGATGCTACTTCTTGGAGGCCTGTTCTGAGAAGGAAATGTGACAATACAGTAAAGGGCCATATGACTAACATATCCTAAGGAAACTTTTAAATACATCTATGCTCTGCTTTTCAGAAAAATAAAGTTGGCTCCCTTTGAGAACTACAGTGGAAGATGGACTGTTAGATTTGGGGTGATAACTCTTTGTCACTCTCTGGCTCCTTATTGAGGCACAAATGCTAAGTCCCATGGGGGAAGTTAGAGAAGAATTAGACACAGATCTGATCCTCAAGTGGGGAGATATAAGTCATTCTATATGAATGCTGATCGCATAAAAACAGAAGTGATAAATATAAGACAAAATGATGTGTGGTCCAGAGGGAGGAGAACATAGTTCGGGAAGAAATTTGAAAAGATATTTAAACTGGGCCTTGGAAGACAGCAGAGATGAAACTGTGGAGATGTGGGGTGAAGGGAGGGGTAAAGGTATTCGAAGCTGAGGGAACAGCCCAAAGCAAAAGCTCAAGGTGGAAGAAGCAACAGTGCCCGGCTCACTCTAGGTGGGAGAGTGGGGTGTCTAAATGGGAAGAGCGGAAGTTCGGAAAGGCTGGGAGCAGATCACACAAGCCCCTAGATGTGAGGCCGAGGAAACTGGACTTTGTCTAGGAGGCAGCAGGAGCCATGGATGGTTTTTAGCATTTGAGTGACATGACATGAATATATATCCTTTTTGCAATCATCTTTACTTTAGCTATTTTGTTTAATATAAAAGGAATATTTTACTTCCTGTAATGTTTTTGAAAAAAAGTGACAAGAATTTTTTTTGTGAATAAATTAAAACCATATTTTAAACAGAATCAAGGAGTCGGCTCTTTAAAGAAATAGTAACTCTTTTTATTTAAAAAAACTTCTAATAAAAAGTGAATTTAATTTAACCACATATTCAGTCATCAAACATTCATTGCCATGTATTATGAGATTACAAATGCAACTTTTCTTATATGGGAATTTCAGGGGAAGTGGCACATGACTTTGTTAATAAGGAATTCAGATCACAAGGAAAATATCAAGATGGTTAAAGAAGACCTGAATAGTGTGGCCACCATACAAGGTGATCATAATTTTATTTGGACTTTATAGCAAAGAAAAGAGGAGAAGCAATGGCTGGGTGAAGGGCACTGACTCCTGCTGACCAAGGGTCTTGGGACCCCGACCAGAGAAGTTTCTTTTATGAAATAGAATTGTTCTCTATGCCTGGTCTAATTTTTGTTGTAATAATCTGGACATAGTTGTTTTTTTTTTTTTTCCCTTAGGTTAAAGTGAAATTTCTATTAGAGATGTATTCAATAGCAATGAAAAGTAGGACTAATAAGGAGCAGACTCTATGACCCAGTGAACTAGGTGGAAAGCTGGTAGAACCAGCTTTCGGAACCATGGCTAGAGCTCAAGGACGGTACTGAACCATTTTCACACAACGGGGTCTGGCAGCTTTGATTTTGTTTTTGTTTTGGTGCCTAAATTGCCTTGTATCTGCAGAAATAGCTAACATGTTCCTAATCCAGCAGGTCCCGGATCCCTGTCTAGTGAGTACCAATCCATGTAGCTAACTCATTGAAAATTTGCTTTTGAACAAACAATGTCCAGTAGACTGATTCCACCCCCACTCATTTTTACTGACTATTTTGGTCATTTTTACTGATTATTTTTACTGCTTAATTTTTTTCTTATCTCAAAAATCAGGACTAGAAGCTGCTAATACAATTTCTGAAAACACTAAGATGGAAAAAATACTTGACCACAGGGGTCTCTCATAAATATTAAACAGATTAATGAAGTAATTGGGAAGATTGCAATAGATACCCCAATTGTCAATTAATTCATGTGGAGAGTGTTAAATTACTGAATTTGGAAGATGGCTACAGAAAAGAAAGCCTCTTAAGATTAATTCCATATAGTGTTGTATCCAAACTGCAGTATGAGCAGAAAGTGAGGTTTCAGGTCAATTTCTAGCTGTACTATTTGATTTTTATCTTTAAAATAATTCTCTGAAGTTTCAAACCTCTCCCAACACAAGGCACAATGAGGGATAACAAGTTCATAATTATAATAATAATTCATATTATTATAGTTCCTTTTGGTGAGTCACAGAGAGCAGACAGGAGATGGAAAATAGCTAATAATAGTAGCCAATATTTTAGATGCCACCTCACTATAGTTTTTGATATACTAACCAAAAATTGGCATACTGTGATCTCATAAATTCCGTCAGCAGAGAAAATCGTGGAATCCTAATATTAGAGAATCTGATAGAGTCATCATGCTGGAACTTTAAAAAAAAAAAAATAATAACTTTAAACACCAAGTTTACTTGTTTGGAATTTCAACCAAACTCTAGAATTTATTACTAAATTAATCTTATACAGAGAGCCATAATTATTTTGGTATAGAGTTAATATTTGGGGATTATTTACATTAAGAAATTTTAAATCAAGGAGAACATCATGATTCTGATTTGGGCATGTCATTTCCAATTAACGTAATTTGGAATTGGTTGTGATGTTTGAGTATCTATTGTTTTTAAAAAAAGAAGAAACAAAAATTAGTCCTAATATTTTTAAAAAATTACCTAACAAAAACTTTTTCAGTTTTTTGATTAAAAGATTCATTTTTTCTTCTTCAGATTCACTTTGGTTTTTCATATTTCTCACTTTCTCACTTAGCTGTAAGGCACTGTTTTTGGAGACTTCTGCCAGTTTACTTATATTTTTGATCTGGAATAAGGAAAAACGACAATGAGGAAAACATAAAATTATGCACATTCTGTGATGTTTAATTACTTAGCCGGACCAAAGAAAACTGTCACTAAAAATGAAATAGAAGTCTAGATAATGAAACACTAGATTCATTTTAAAGGACTCGTTTAAAAGGTGATATTATTTGTTTTCATTATGTTTTCTTAGTAACGTGAATTTATCTCTTAAAGCATTATTAGGGATCGAAATTATTATTTGAAAACAATATTGATCTAGTACTAATGACTTGTCCCCATACAAATCTAAAACACAAATTTTGTTTTAATGAGACTGTAGCATTCTATAATATCAACAAATTTCACGCAAATTACTTAGGACTACTTACTGTGGTCATTATGTTTAATAAGTTAAGAGCATTTTCTTTTATGTAAGTTAAAAGTTACTTTTCTAAACATTCTTCAAATTCAAATAATGTACTTTCTTTGAAAGCTAAAAAGAAAGCATTCTTCCTTTTAATAAATGAGCTTGAACTCAGAGCAGCCTACAAAGATAGATTCCAAACACACTGTACACTTGGTGGGGGAATGATCAGACTAAAAGGCTTGCAACCTAGAAGTGCAAATTCCTAATTGTGTGACTTGAGAAAGGTCATGGACTTTTTCTTGCATTTCTGACAAATTAGAGAAAGAGAAAACACAGAAAGCAATAGGACAATATCACCAACAAGTTGAGCTGTATTGAATAAATTAATTGTGACAGAAGTAGGGCTAATTAGGATCAAACATAATCAGGAAAAAAAAATCCCCTTTATTTCTGCACAAAAGGAGCCTGCTTAATTTGAGTCATACAGATTGTGTGAAAAAGGATTTAATTGTCCACATTGGCAAATGACAAAACAAAAAAGAAACATTTATGTGATTAAAAATATGTAACAATTTTTTGAGTTGTTCCTTAATTCTCTGGAACTTTTTAAATTTTAAAATGGATAGCAGTTGCTAAGAGAGTCGGTCTTAAAAGTTCTCATGGCAAGAAAAAAAAAATGTATCTATATGTGGTGATGGATGTTAACTAAACTTATTGTGCTAATCATTTTGCAGTAGATACATATATCAAATCATTATGTTGTACACCTAAAACTTATATGTCAATTATATCTCAATAAAAAATATAAAATGGATAGCAGTAAGTAAGAATGCATGGCAGTAAAACGAGGATTCCAGAAATAAATACTCTGGACAGGAAAGCACCAAATTATACAGATGAAATCTCAGTGTAGACTAGTTGATGCCATATTCAGAAAGAAAGAAAGAGATTGCTAAAGTATGTCACTCCGAAAACATCTCTCTGCAATCCATCCGCTGTCACAATTGACTCTTGAGAATTCTCTCACAATCTTTTCTGGCGCCCTTCCCCCTCTATCAAGAGGAAAATAGCACACCATTTCATCAACATGCCAACCCCTGCCCCCGTCCTTTTCCAGTTCTCCAGTTATGTGCTGATGAAGCCAGATTCTGCTAATATGTATTTCAGGGGTTATCTTCTTTATATGGCACTGATTTTTTTTTTTTAATTTTTTGTTTATTGCAGTAACATTGGTTTATAACATTGTAAAAATTTCAGGTGTACATCATTGTACTTCTATTTCTGCATAGATTACATCATGCGCAATAGCTTCACACAGGATTTACTTAAATGGTGTGAGATTTGTTATGCTCACTGCCGTATTCCCAACATCTAGATAAACGCCTGGCACAGAGTAGGGACTCAATGAATATCTGTTAAAGCAATGAAGAATGACATAGAAGTGAAAAACCACGTAGCGATACAGAATTATGACTATATAAAGAAAAATTTTCACATTTACTACATGTAGGGATATTTTCCTGCTTGGCTAATCAGAGGCTTGCCCCAGAACTTGGATTCTGGAGCATGTAGAGCAAGGGCACAGGACTAGCTGGGGTTCAGGCCCACAGAGGCGAGGCTCATGGAGCAAAGTGTTGCTCTGTGTGTGTGTGCACATGCGTGTGTGCGCACGTGCATTTGCACGTTTGTGTGCGCACGTGCATGTGTGTGCAAGTGCATGTTTGCACGTTTGTGTGTGTGTGCGTGCACGTGCATGTATATTAGCTGTGGTTCTCACTCCATTCCCGAGCTTGGCCCTCCATTCTCTTCTCGATTCTGAGACCCAGATGTCTTCACATAACATTTCTTTTTTGTTCAGGAGTTGGTTTCTGTTGCTTGCAAACAAGAATGCTGACTGATAAAATATTCAACTTATGTTGGTTAAAAATTCAGCCCTTTAAGAGCTTTTTCTTCATCAAAGGCTCTATGTATACTGTCAAAAAAGGAGCAAACCATCATCTTGTTTTTAAGGTGAGTACAGTGCATTCACAGAATATCTAAAATTGCCTTCACCTTTTCAAGATGAATACAGCGTATTCACAGAATACCTTAAATTGTATTCACCCTTTCAAGATGAATATAATGTATTCACAAAAAAACCTAAAGAAAACTAAGTAATTAAAAATTATACTCATTTATCAATATGACTAGAAAAGTAAATGAAATCATTTAAAATTGTTAGAAATTCAATTATCAGGTACTTAACTGTATTATGTCTATCAATGTAGGAAGGAGTTCAAGGCATAAGGGTATGTTCCTATTAAAATATTTTCTAATATTAAAGTTTGTATATTTAGTAGAATTTCAAATATGTCTTTAAATTTATGAAAAATTATTCTTTACTTTGAGAGATCTATAGTTTTCAAACCTTCAAGGCTAGGAGTCTTCACATTTCTATGTAGTGTTTGCTATAAAAGAAACATGTCCACACAGTCTATATCCTACAAACATACACTTTGAGTTCTTTCTCTTCTCTCTTTCTCTCCATACACGCACACACACATTCTCTCTCTCTCTATATATATACACACACACATAGTGCATATGTATGTGTATATATGTACACACATATATGTAATACATACAATAGAAAATATGTCAATATTCACATCTACTTCTAAATCTACATTTATATCCATATCTGTATTTATTCTATGTTTCCAGGCATAAGAACACCTAATATCTAGAATCTATTCTTTCACTTAGAAGCTAAACGGCGGTTTTTAAAATTTCAAACGGTTTGCTTTTTTTTATTACTATGCCTTTACAAATACAGCAAGAGAAGACGTTATTTACCTGATTCTTCAACCCTTGAACCTGATTGCTCGAATTATGAATCACGGACCCTGCTTCCTGAGCTCTCTGGAGGGCGTTCCTCGAGAGGGTGAGGGAGCCGCGACAGCTCGGGTCACCACAGGACGAGACCACGCAGGGCACGTCCCCGAGTTCTCCACACACCTCACAGGAGAAACAACTTATGTGGAAAAGCAAGTTGTTGGCAGAGTTTTTTCTAATGCCATCCAGGCCCACTGAGGCAAGGCACCACTCTATTCATATGCATTTTTTCAATAGCTGTTCACGCATACTATGTGCACGCGACCCATTAAATGTTTCCTAGATAACTGAATAAATATCAAAATCATTTGTTATCAACATTTGTGGCAATCAACGTCATTTTTACACTTACAGTTTTTTTTTTTAAAGATTTTATTTATTTAATTTTTTCCCCCCAAAGCCCCAGTAGATAGCTGTATGTCATAGCTGCACATCCTTCCAGTTGCTGTATGTGGGACTCGGCCTCAGGATGGACGGAGAAGTGGTGCCTCTATGCGCACCCGGGATCCGAACCCGGGCCGCCAGCATTGCAGTGCGCGCACTTAACCACCAAGCCAGAAGGCCGGCCCTACACTTACAGTTTTTGGGGAAAGTAGTCAAACATCTAGCATTTCCATTTTTTAAAAAATAAAAAATTATCTTTTACTTATAATGAGGCAGGAGGAGTAAATGTCCATAATCTGTTCCATTTTGGAAATAGTAAATAATATAAAATAATAAAATCAAGCCACTATGTTTACTCTTTGATTTTTCTCAAACTTAAGAAATAAAAAATAAAATATAAATAAATACAGTTGTATTATTTATATATTATATAACAGAGTATTTATATATTATATACATTTATATATTTATAAAATATAAATAAAAAAAGAAATAAAATGTAAGACAGGGAAATACAATTGAAGAAGTCTGTATACCAAGTAGAAACCACAAACATTTTCACTACACCATCATGAATATTTACCTTTTCATTCAACATTTGGATATCTGGTATCTTAATCTGCTTTAATTTTTCCAGTGACAAGTTTTCTTTTGAGGCTAGTGTATCTAAGACGGTAAGTCATTCATTCCTGGTTTTTTCTGAGTTACTTATGATGGAAGTAGTTTCATTAATTTCCTTTTCAGCAGATGATGATCTCTGATAATACTTCTTGATGTTCTCTGATGAATCTACATCAACACAAATTGAGGTAAGATAAATTTTGTGAAGACAGATGAAATTATACATTGGCTATTAAGATAATCATTCCACAATTTGACTACTGTCTTGGTCTCAATGATCAATATAAAAATTCAACATCCTCTTCCTTGAATTTGCACTTACCAGGGGAGGATTAGATGTTGTGTAATAGATACATATATATAATAGATACAGAGCACTGAGATTGAAGTCTGCAGACATGGGTTTGAGTGCTGGGTTCCCCCTTTACTGTCTGGGTATGTCCTTGAGCAAATCAATTAATCTCTTAGATTGTGTTTCCTTATCTGTAAATTGGCGATAATAATTTGTGAGGATTAAGTGAGATAATATATAAATACTCTGAAAAGTGTTCCACAAGTATAAGGTATTAATTATGACTACCTATATGAACCCTAATATGATACACCAACTTTAAGTTTACCTGATTATATAGAGCAGGAGTTGACAAACTTGTCCTGTAAAGGGTCAGAGGATAAATGTTTTAGGCCTGCCGGCCACGGTACTTCTATCACAGATACTCAAATCTGCCATTGTTGAGTGAAAGCAACCACAGACAATATGTAAATAACTCGGCGAGGTTGTCTTCCAATGACACTATTTACAGAAACAGGCTGTAGGTAGGATTTGCTGGTGGGCTATAGTTTGCTGACCTCTGATGTTGAGGCTGATGACAACAGCTCACATTTGTTGAGTGCTTTCTGTATGCCTGTACTTCTTACCAATTTTCTTCCTTAATATTCACAAAACACTGAGGTGTGCATGAGTGTGATCACCCTCATTTTACAAGTGAGGAAACGAGGCTCTGATGAGGTGAGTTATTTGCCTGAGGTCTCACTGATAGTAAGAGATGAGGCCGGGATGTGAGGCCGGGTAGTTTGACTCTAGAGCCTGTGTTCTTAAGCGTTTCTCTATATTTTCCATATTTTTATTAAAATACAAATTCATGACAGTAGTATGGTATGTTTTAATGTAAACGATAGTATATTAGGGCTTTAAATGATAACTCCATATTTTAGGGACCAGAGACCCAGGGTCCCGATCCAGGCCTGAGACAGCTACGCCTTATCTTTTAAACCTTCTGGTTCTTACACCAACATACTCTTAATATCATGACTTTCATTTATCACAAAACAACAACAAAAAACCATGTTCCTATTGCTTAGAATGATTTTCAGCCTTTATTTTTCTGGCAAATCTATCACATTGATTTGCAGATGTTGAATTGTCCTTGCAACCCTGAGATTGATCCCACTTGATCACGGTGTATGATCCTTTTAATGTGTTGTTGCATTTGATTTGTTAATATTTTGTTGAGGATTTTTGCATCTGTGTTCATCAGCGATATTGGCCTGTAGTTTTCTTTTTTGTGTTGTACTTGTCTGGTTTTGGTATCAGAGTAATGTCTGCCTCATAAAACGAGTTAGAAAGCATCCCCTCCTCTTCAATTTTTTGGAAGAGTTTGAGAAGGATACGTATATTGTATATTAAATCTTCTTTGAATGTTTAGTAGAATTCACCAGGGAAGCTATCTGGTCCTGGACTTTTGTTTTTGGGGAGGTTTTTGATTACTGTTTCAATCTCCTTTCTAGTGATCAGTCTATTCAGATTCTCTATTTCTTCTTGATTCAGTTTTGGAAGGTTGTATAATTCTAAGAATTTATCCATTTCTTCTAGGTTATCCAATTTGTTGGTGTACAGCTTTTCACAGTATTCTCTTATAATACTTTGTATTTCTGTGGTGTCTCCTCCTTTCATTTCTGATTTTATTTATTTGAGCCTTCTCTCTTTTTATCTTAGTGAGTCTAGCTAAAGGTTTGTCAATTTTGTTTATCTTTTCAAAGAACCAGCTCCTAGTTTCATTAATCTTTTCTATTGTCTTTTTAGTGTCTATTTTATTTATTTCTACTCATTTTTATTATTTCCTTCCTTCTACTGATTTTGGGCTTCATTTGTTCTTCTTTTTCTAGTTCGTTTAGGTGTAATGTTAGATTATTTTAGATTTTTCTTGTTTCTTGAAGTTGGCCTGTATTGCTATAAACTTCTTAGTAGCACTTTTGCTGTATCCCATAGATTTGGGTATGTTGTATTTTCAGTTTCATTTGTCTCCAGGTATTTTTTGATTTCCTCCTTGATTTCTTCATTGACCCAGTAGTTGTTCAGTTTGTTTAATCTCCATATATTTGTGATTTTTCCAGTTTTCTTCTTGTAGTTGATTTCTAGTTTCATACCATTGTGGTTAGAAAAGATGCTTGATATATTTTCATTCTTTTTAAATTTAATGAGACTTGTTTTGTAGTCTAATCTGTGATCTGTCCTGGAGAATGTTCCTTGTGCATTCAAAAAGAATGTGTATTCCTCAGTTTGGGGATGGAATGTCCTGTATATATCTATTAAGTCCATCTAGTCTAATGTGTCATGTAAGACCAATATCGATCTTCTGTCTGGATGATCTATCCACTGATGTAAGTGGGGTGTTAAAGTTCCCTACTATTATTGTGTTACTGTCAATTTCTCCTTTTATGTCTGTTAATATTTAATATTTGCTTTACATATTTAGGTGCTCCCATGTTGGGCATAAAAATATTTACAAGTGTTATATTCTCTTGTTGGATTGTTCCCTTTATCATTATGTAGTGCCTTTCTTTTTCTCCCGTTATAGTTTTTGTTTTAAAGTCTACTTTGTCTGATATAAGTATTGCTACACCAGCTTTCTTTTCATTTCCATTTGCATGGAATATTTTTTCCATCCCTTCATCTTCAGTCTGTGTGTCTGTAGATCTGAAGTGAGTCTCCTGTATGCAGCATATATAGGGGTCTTGTTTTTTTGTCCATGCAGCCATTTTATATCTTTTGTTTGGAGCATTTAGTCCATTTACATTTAGAGTAATTATTGATAGGTATATACTTATTGTCATTTTGTTACTTTTTTTTTCTGGATAATCTTCTCCGTCCCTTTCTTCTTCTCTTGCTCTCTTGCCTTGTGATTTGATGACTTTCTTTAGTGTTATGTTTAGGTTCCTTGCTCTTTATTTTTTGTGTATTTATTATAGGTTTTTGTTTTGTGGTTACCATGAGGTTCATATATAATAACTTACGTAAACAGCAATCCTTATTAAGTTGATAGTCTCTTAAGTTTGACCTCATACTAAAAACCCTATACTTTTACTCCCGTCCCCATTTTTTGTTTTTGATATCAGATTTAACCCCCTTTTGTGTCTGTGTGTATACCTTATCATAAAACAGATATTTTTAGTACTTTTGTCTTTTGACCTTCATATTAGCTTTATAGGTGGTTGATCTGCTACCTGTGCTGTATATTTGCCTTTACCAGTGATTTTTTTTTCTTTGATAATTTTCTTATTCCTATTTGTGTTCTTTTCTTTTCCACTTAAGTAAGTCCCTTTAACATTTCTTGTAAGGCTGGTTTAGTAGTGATAAACTCCTATAGTTTTTGCTTGTCTGGAAAACTCTTTCTCCTTCCATTCTGAATGATAATCTTGCTGGGTAGAGTATTCTTGGCTGTAGGTTTTTTCCTTTCAGCACTTTGAGTATATCGTACCACTCCCTTCTAGCCTGTAAGGTTTCTGCTGAGAAGTCAGCTGATAGCCTTATGGCATTTCTTTTATATGTAACTTGTTGTGTTTCTATTGCAGTTTTTAGATTCTCTCTTTTTCTTTAATTCTTGACATTTTAATTATAATATGTCTTGGTGTGGGCCTCTTTGGGTTCATCTTGTTTGGTGCTATCTGTGCTTTCTGTACCTGGATGTCTGTTTCCTCCCTCAGGTTATTTTTCAGCTATTATTTCTTCAAACAGTTTCTCTGCCCCTTTGTCTCTCTCTTCTTCTTCTGGGACACCTATAACACGGATGTTAGAATGCGTGGTGTTGTCCCAGAGGTTCCTTAGACTGTCCTCATTCTTTTTAATTCTCTTTTCTGTTCAGCTTGGGTGATTTCCTCTACTCTTTTGTCCAGCTCGCTGATCCATTCTTCTGTGTCATCTACTCTGCTGTTGATTCCCTCTAGTGAATTTTTCATTTCCATTATTATAACCTTCAGTTCTGTTTGGTTCTTTTTTATATTTTCCAATTCTTTGTTGAAGTTCTCACTGTGTTCATCTAATCTTGTCCCAAGATCAGTGAGCCTCCTTATGACTATTAGTTTGTACTCTTTATCAGGTAGATTGTTTATCTCTGTTTCATTTAGTTCTTTTTCTGGGGATTTGTCATGTTCCCTTATTTGGAACACATTCCTTTGCCTCCTCACTTTGCCTACTTCTTTGTGCTTATTTCTATGTATTAGGTAGATCGGCTATGTCTCCTGACCTTGGAAATGCGGTCTTATGTGGGATGTGTCTTATGGGGCCCAGCAGTGTGCTCCCCTCTCCTCCCCCATGACAAATGCTCCAGGGGTGTCCCCTGCATGTGCCCTTCTGTTGTAGTGGAGCTGCTATTGTTGTGGGCATGTGGGTAGGCTAGGCTGGTCCCCAGGCCAGCTGGTTGCAAGTTCAAGCCATGTGCAGCTGCTATAGGTGCATTATTGAGTGCAGTAAGCCCGCAGCATGGCTGGCTGTGAGGCCTGGTAGCGCACAATTACTGCAGGTTCACTGGTGAGTGAGTCACACCCCCTTACATGGCTGGTTTTGGAGTCCAGCAGTGCACCACTGCTGTGAGCTCACTGGTGGACAGGGCAGGCCCCTGGTGTGGTTGGTTTCTAGGCTTGGTTGGACGGCTGTTGCTAGCTTGCTCTTGGGTGGGGCAGGCTCTGGTGCAGGCAGGCTGTGTGGCCCAGGGGCGTGCAACTGCCTCAGCTGTGCTGGTTGGTGGGGCAGGCCTCCACCACATCACTGTGCAACCGTTTTAGGTGCGTTGGTGGTTGGGGTAGATCCCCTGTGTGGCTGGCTGCTGGTCCCAGTAGCGCAAATCGGCTGTGAGCTCGCTGGTAGGCGGGGCAGGTCCCTGGAGCAGGCCGCTGCCTGGTTGCACTCAATTGCCTCGGGTGCCTCTGGCAGGCCCCTCCACTAACAGGCTAGAGGGAGGAGTCCAAATGGCGCCTGCCAGCATGTGTGGCAGCATGGCTGAACTAGATCACAAAAATGGCTGCCACCAATGTCTCAATCCCTGGGGGGTCCCAAGCCATCTCCTACTTCTCTGGGATGAGCTCAGAGCTTAGTAAGTGAGTCTCTTTTAACAATGGACTATGCACTTTTCTATTTGGCGTTTTTGTGTTGGTTTCCAAGTTGAGTGAGTCTGTGCGTGGGCCCTTTAAGAGTAGGTTTTCCTTTCCCTGAAGTTCTATGGTTTTCCTGGTTGTAACCAGGAAACACATTTGGTTTTCAAAGCCAGGTGTTTTGGGGTCTCACTTCTCTTGTGCTGGATCTAAGGGCTGAGGTACCTAATACTGAGCTTGGACTCCCCTACTCCTCTGGGAAAAGCTCTGTCCCTTTGAGGTCACTCCTGACAATGAAGTGCCTCAGCTAGGGTGTGGTTTTTTTCCCCTCAGTGGGGCTTTATCTCTGCCTCTTCCACCCTTCTCTGTGTTGCCCCTTGTTGTGGAGGTTCTTTTCATTCAGTTTCTAGATCTTTCTCAGAGGAAATTGTTCCACAGGTAGTTGTAGGTTTGTTGTGTCCATGGAAGAAGGCAAGCTCAGGATCCTCCAATGCCACCCTCTTCCAAACCTCGACTCCCCATCATCTTTAAGAACTGCGCAACACAAATTAAAGGCTTCTAGGACATGACTCCAACCCCCTACAAAGTTCTCACGAGAAATGTTTCTTTAAGTCCTTTTCACCTCATCTTCCTTTGCATTTATGGTTGCTGGAAATGGAGTGGCTTATACTCAGGAAGGCATAGAAATATATCTCACATTTCCTTATGGCCATATTAGAATTTCCAAGTTGCTGATTACACAAGACCTTGCATGGGTTGGCATTAGAAGATTACTTTGAGTTTTAGTATTTGTTTAGTATCAGACATTGTTAGCTTTATTCATTATTTTGAGCAAATGTTATCCAAACTCTGCAATGTTTAAAAAGTTGAAATATTCATGTACAAATAATACCTTTAACTGGTGTGTTTTCATGTTCTAAAGTGCTCAGGCGCTATGGCAGTAAGCACAGGGTGACTCACTAATGGCATGCACTATGGATTTCATCAATCTTTGTCCAGAAACAGACCACTGAAGTGCATTTTCTCTCTTACCCACAATGCTTGCATTACGGGCACGGGAGCACAAATCAATTTCTCCCTGAAGATCTTGAAGTAAGAGGTCTGCTTCGTTCTTCATTCTTACTGTTTTTTCTTTCAGATCTTGAAATTCATACACTGTTTTCAGCTGCTCACTTAGCTGCAGGATTTGTTTCCTATAGGGGAAAATGAGAGTAAATGTAGTGAAGCTTGTAATACAGATTGGTGGGAAAAAAACACATGTAAAAAATCACTCTCATTATTAGGTGTCCTCATAATTAGAATGGATTTTCCCCCCCAATTTTTCATTTGACAGTTCATAATTCTGTTTATAGCTCATCTCGTTTTTGTTAATTCAGCTTCCTGGAATATTTCAAGATTCACCTCAAATATGATCAGCATAAAAGGTCTAGTAGAATAAATGTTTTTCAATCTTTCAATTTCAACTGTTTATACTCTGTCTCCCTTTGCTTTGAGTTTTCAAAAACTGGTATTCAGATGTGGTTCATTTAAATCAGCCTAAGGGAGCCAATATACATTCGATTTCAACACAGAACATCTCACCCAGCCCAGGGTAAAATCAGTTCTTCATTTAGAATAAATCTGCTTCCAGTAAGGTTCCTTTTAGTGCTACTTCTGTACTAAGAGTCTTAACTTTTTTTTTTTTTTTTTTGGTGAGGAAGATTAGCCCTGAGCTAACATCTGTTGCTAATCCTCCTCTTTTTTTGCTGAGAAAGATTGGCCCTGGGCTAACATCCGTGCCCGTCCTTCTTTACTTTATATGGGACACCTGCCACAGCATGGCTTGATGAGTGGTGCGTTGGTCCAGGCCTGGGATCCCAATCTGAGAACCCCGGGCCGCCGAAGAGGAGCGCGCGAACTTGCCAAAGCGGATGCACGAACTTGACCGCTACGCCACTGGGCCGGCCTCCTAAGGGTCTTAACTTTTAAATCACACAAGTGACAAGGAGGTTTCTTGTTGGTGAGTGTACCGCTGGGTGTGTTCATTCTCCATCATCTTCTTCTCTGATGGTGCACACCTTTGTCCCGCTTCATTTTGCTGGGTTTGGCACACACAGTTGGTTCAAGTGAATGATTAGTAAATCCCCTATGATGGGGAAATTGGGTGCAAATCTTGAAGAGTATGATTGAGGAAAATTACAATACAAATTTATGGGAGCAATTTATCTTGGCCCAAGTGCAAAGCTTTAACTAATGCTTACTAGAATTTTCTGCTCTAGCTTTCCCTTCTAATCTACACACTTTTCCTTTAGGCTCCAACTGTCAGGACTATGATTCTTTAGGCTATTAATAATAATAATAATAGTAATTACTATTATTATAATTGGTACTCTTTAAGCACTTACAATGTGCCAGACATGGTGCTAAGTGGCTTGTCTTGAGTAATCCTCACAAGAATCTTACGAAATAGAGACTTTGTCTCCCTTCTTTATGAAGAAACTGAAGCTTGGAGAAGTTAAATAACTTGCCTAGGGCCACACAGCAGTAAGTGGATTTGAACCACGGTGGTTTGACTTCTGAATCTATGCTCATGACGGCCTGGGTTCCTTGTCCTTCCCCTCGCCTTTGACTTGTAATTCACCAGCAAACATTAATTATATAACTAAACCAGGCCTGGGCAGCCTCTGCCCTCCTTGTCCCTCAGTGAGGCAATGGGTGAGCCACAAAGAGGTGGGAAGATGGAGAAGGAAACACATGCCTTTCTCTCAGGAGGTCAGGGAAGGCTTCCTTCAGCGAGGAGGTGGTGTTTGGGTGGCTGTTAAAGAGGACTAGGAGTTCAGCAGGTGGACCAGGGGGGAGGCATTTGGCTCTGGCTGAAGAGGCCCAGTCATCACTCCTTTCCTCACCGCTTCAGGCGTGGCCCGCGACTCCTGCTCTCTTGCTCTCTTCTCTCTGTCTCTGCCTGGGCTCCTGCCATCTCTTTGTCTAGAACGTTCACTGTGGATCGGCTCATTCTGCTTTCTCAGCTCCACTTTGTCTGCCATTTTCTAGAACCACAAACCAGTGGGGGGGCCGAAGCTCATCCTCAGACATGTTTCTTTGGCTTATACAGTGCTGTTTAAAAGCACTGTGGGGGGGCCGGCCCTGTGGCTCAGCAGTTAAGTGCGCGCGCTCCGCTACTGGCGGCCAGGGTTTGGACAAGCGCGCACTGATGCACCGCTTGTCCAGCCATGCTGAGGCGGCATCCCACATACAGCAACTAGAAGGATGTGCAACTATGACATACAACTATCTACTGGGGCTTTGGGGAGAAAAAGGGAAAAAAAGGAGGAGGATTGGCAATAGATGTTAGCTCAGGGCCGGTCTTCCTCAGCAAAAAGAGGAGGATTAGCTTGGATGTTAGCTCAGGGCTGATCTTCCTCACACACAAAAAAGAAAAGCACTGTGGGATTAGCTGCCTATATTTTAAAGTGAGGATATTTCCATAAAAATCTTTCTGAAAAGTGGGGAGATTTGGGAACATGGGGCCCAAATCCTGCAGGGCAACAATCTTTTCAAGGGTATAGCTGTACCTGTTCTCACTGGACCGCTTGGCTTGGCCACGTGGCCTCCCTGGGCACCGTAGCTGCCTTCGCGGTGCAGCTGACCCGTCCTCTGAACTGTCCAGGTGGGTTGTATCTTCTTCTTTGTGTGACTTTTAAGCAATTACCATACACTTCTAGGATTTTTGCCTATTGATAATGAATGGCCTTATATTTACACTTGTGTTTTGTGTGACATAAAACTCTGCAGCTTCCACTATTCCTTAATCCAGTACTTTTTATGAGGAGGGATGTTAATATCTGTAAAGGGCCAGAGAGTAAATATTTTAGGCCTTGAGGGGCATAGGGTCTCTGCCACAACAACTCAACTCTGCCACTGTAGAGGGAAAGCAGCCACAGAAGATGTGTAAATAAATGGGCATGGTTGTGTTCCAATGAAACTTTATTTACAAAAACAGGTGATGTGTTTGATTTCACCCGTGGGCTGTGGTTTGCTGAGTCCTGGCCCAGAACAACCAACATAATCTCTGGAAATATTTGATGAATGCAAAAAAGGATTCAGTAATATATAATAAAAATTATATAGCATTTTGAACGAATTATCATACTTGTTATAAGACTTCACATTAATGTATGGGCTTCTAAACAACTGAAGAATTTGGGAAGATTTAGCAAATTTCCCTAAGTGCGTGGTTGAAAAAAATATATTTGTGTTAGAAACTACCCTACTTGCAATTTTGTATCTTTCAGCTCTGCTGGGTTTGGGCTTTCCAAAATGCTCCTAATAATTGTCCTTTTGTTATAATCAATGGCATTTGGAAAAATCACATGTTATCCTAACTGGTAAGAAAGAGACAGACAAACATGATCACCAGCCTGGTTATTAACTGAACAATTACCCTTTCCCTAACGTCGACATAGGTACGTTTCTACGAAGGCCTATGAAGGCTGGTAAATCAGCAGGAGTTAAGGTAAATCAGGAACTTGGCTATCTATTGCTTGAGCACAGATCTTACCGAACAGAGTCATGATAATCCTTGACTTTTAAGAATTCCCCAGATGCAAAAACAGGATGTTTCAAAATCCTTTCTATTTCAGACATGTTCTTGCTGAGGTCTTTGAAGTCAGCCTCACAGACAGGCAGGGTCTCTCTTTTATCTTTCATGGTAGCAGCCAGCCTCATTAACCCTTGCACCTCTTTGGAGAGGGAAGAAATGGTGTGGTCCCATTGATCAAAGCACAAGTGACACTGAAGACAAGCAGGGAATTCCCGGCTGTGACCCCGGGCGCAGCGATCACGTTGCTGGCCGCTAACGCCCTCCCGGCAGAGGCACACGCTCGTGTCCTGGTCACAGGCGGGCTTCAGGGTACCTTCCCAGTTGCAGTCACACGCTAAAAAGGAAGAGAGGGGGCAGAGAATGTCAGGCACCTGGTCCTTTGCTTATGACTAGCTCAAGAATAGAGTTCTCTCCTCTCTCCTGAGAATCTCCCCAACTCTCATGTCTAAGGTGAATATTTAAAACCAGTATAATTTCAGAGATCTGTGCAATGGCCATTAAAATACAGCATTCCTCTTTTCATTCCACTAATAAATCAGTTCATGGTTTCTACATGGAAAACATTAGGTGTGGTTTTTACTGTGTGAGTGTCAGTGTTCATGTGTGGGTTCTTCACCTATTTGAGTGAGGAACACGGATCTAATGGTGGATGACACATTAGTGACTGCTGCTACTGCCCCCAAGAGGGATTCAGGCATGTCACAGACTCTCTAAGAATTCCAATGACCACATTTTTTCTTAGTAAAACCCAGCCTGGGTGTGTTGACCCATGCTGTCTTCCATTATATAAGGAGAACTAGTCCAGTCTCAAAAAAAGGGGGGTAATCACTCCTTGATATTTACCTAAAGGAGTTGAAAACTTATGTCCACACAAAAACCTGCACATGGATATTTATAGCAATTCCTAGTTGCCAAAACTTGGAAAGCAACCAAGAGGTCCTTCAGTAGGTGAATAGATACATAAATCGTGGTACAATTAGACAATGGACTATTATTCAGCGCTAAAAAGAAATGAGCTTTAAGCGATGAAGAGATGTGGAGGAACCTTAAATGCTTATTACTAAGTGAAAGAAGCCAATTTGAAAAGGCTGCATACTATATGATTCCAACTGTAGGACATTCTGGAAAAGGCAAAACTATGGAATCAATAAAAAGATCAGTGGTTGCCAGGGGTTAGAGGGAGAGAGGGATGAATAAGTGAGGCACAGAGGATTTTTAGGGCAGTGGAAATACTGCATATGATACTATAATGATGGATACATGTCGTTATAGATTTGTCCAAATTCATAGAATGAACAACAACAAGAGTGAACCCTAAGGTAAACCACAGACTTTGGTGATTATGATGTGTCAGTGTAGGTTCATCAGTTGTAACAGTTGTACCACTCTGGTGGGGATGTTGACAGTGGGGGAGGCTATGCATGTGTAGGGGCAGGAGGTATACGGGAAATCTCTGTACCTTCCTCTCAATTTTTCTGTGAACCTAAAACCGCTCCAAAATATAAAGTCTTTCGAAAAAGGAAGAAAATTAAATTCACTTTGTCTTAATTAAAAAAAAAAACTGATGCTACATGCACTCTAATTGAGTAGGCTTTGACTGAGCCCGAGGATGGAGGATGGGAGAACTACTAAAGTTTCTGCATTTCCAGCAATTCAGAGGATGACTAGCCTCTGTCTTTGGACTAACTGTAAGGAACAAAATTTAAAAATGCATTTGAGAGCCTGAATAAAAATAATGCCAATTACAAATAAAAACTGATTAGCTAACATTCTTTTTTTTTTTTTTTTAATTTTTTTTATTTATTTTTTCCCCCCAAAGCCCCAGTAGACAGCTGCATGTCGTAGGTTCACATCCTTCTAGTTGCTGTACGCGGGACTCGGCCTCGGGTTGGACGGAGACGTGGTGCCTCGGGGCGCGCCCGGGATCCGAACCCGGGCCGCCAGCATCAGAGCGCGCGCACTTAACCGCCAAGCCACGGAGCCGGCCCTGATTAGCTAACATTCTAGGCTCTTCAACGAGATACTCTCTGTCCGGCACATTTGCTTTGGTCCGGAGGCCTCACCCCTGGGCAGCACTATGTCACCTCACCAGCTAGAGGCCAAGGTTGGTTCCCCCTTATGAACAGCTCTTTCTCAGGAGCTTTAGTGGGGTCTGTGGCCTGAGTTGACCATTAGCAAAATTTTCTCTACAAAAGATGAATGTATCTTTATAAAACAAGATTACTGAAATAGTAGAGGGAGATAGGGAAAGAGGCTCTCTAAGACAGATTTTCCAAGAGCCAAAATCCCTCTCTGGTTTCTAAAGTAGCAATTCCTCCTAGAAAACTGAGGAAGTATGACCTGAGGAGACCATTGAGAATGTATTTGAATGGGGCAAGGATGTGAAGGCAATTTATTTTAGCCCCAAAAGCATATTTAAAAGGAATAGAGAGGAGGACAGAGTTACCATGTGTGGCTATGTAGAGGTGACCATGATGATAAGCCTATCACATCTCATATTTCTTTGGATTGACTTCTTTTGGAAGCTGACTTGAAATAGAGATTCACAATCCCTCCTCCTAGAACCAACCCAGATTCTACATCTGCACTGTCCAATATGGTGGCTATTCAAATTTAAATGAATTAAATAACACAATTCTTTTCCTCATTTGCACTAGCCACACTGCAAGAGGTCAACAGCTAGATGTGACTAGTGGCTCCTGCACTGTTGGACAGTGCAGATATAGAACATTTCTATCTCTGCAGAAAGTTCTATTGGATAGTCTGCTCTAAATCCTACAACTAGTGCTAAGACGTGGGTTGAAAGACACTAGAACACAAACTCCGTGAGGTTAGGGGCCTGGCCTCATTTGTTCACTACCTAGAGTACCCAGGAGACACTCTACAAATAGTTTTACATGAATCGATAAGTGAATATGTGACAGACCCAAAGTGATGAGAGCCATGTTGAGGAAACATTCCCTCTGCTGTATCCTATGATCCATCTCCCAGCCTGTTCCTCAATCCAGAGTAGCTGTTTTGTTAACATGCTCCCAAATAGCAGAAAATTGGCTACAGTTCATGACCTCAGAGGTCTGTTCCATTTTAATGACTTTGAGGAATTTTAATATAGGCTACACATTTTAATATAGGCTAACATTTAATATAGCCTAAAATTTTAATATAGGAGAAAAAAATCTTTCTTATAGGGTGACAAAAAATATTATTTTCAAGATGAAGATTAAATTTTATGAATTTTCTGCCAAATAAAGAATTTAAAATTCAGTTGGTTCATAGCATGCCTGTAGGAGGATCAGATTGACTGTACTAATGTTTTTAGAATTACCAATACTTACAAACGCATCGCCCCAGTGGGTCACCATAATAATTTTCCTTGCACTCACTGCAGCGTTTCCCATCATAGCCTAATTTACACGGACACTGGCCTGTAACCTGTGAGAACAGTCATGGATGAGGAATTGACAAGCTTTATGATCTAAAGAAAATAATGCATTTTAATACAAAACCGTTTTCCCTCCAGTGATTTAGAGCATACAGCTGTGCAAAGGCAGGGGAAGGATGATTCCCACGGCCAGCAACCACCCCCGACACTACCCAGGATTAGGAGTTAATGTGTTTTGGCTTAGGGCTCTTGAATATACCGCCTGCTTCCAGCTGTTCAGGGACAGGTGGCCCCAAACTGGGAAACATACACAGATGTAAATGAAAACAAAACACACAGTGGGAAACAGTCCACATTCTTTTCCTCTACAGTTATGAGAGCTCTCCCATTACAGAGAGAGGCCAAAGACCTGGGCTAACATTCATCAATTAATTTGGCAAATAATGTTTCCATTATGGAATGTACAATGGAGTTTCTCCCAACTGGGCTGGTGTTTTGCTCAACAAAACAACACTTTTTGTACTTGAGGCTTAATCACTCAGTGACAGTTATTTAACTGTGTTTTTGGGAGTGGGCTGAATTTTCCTGCACCCTCCCAACTGGATTCTTGATCAGCTTTTCTGAAAACTGAGAAGGTTGGAAAATTAATGGGAGAAAAATACGGCAGCAAATCGCTATTGTCATGGTCCCAGGTTATAGTCGACCGAATCTGCTTAAACAACAACAACTCCATAAGTAGCTGGATTCATAAAATGTCTGGATCTATCAACTTTTACCTATCTTTCGAATTCCCACCAGCTTCTGCTCCAGTATAGGGAGTATAGGGAGTTATGAGGAGCTTGTCGCCCCTGAGACCTGTCATATTGCCAGTTGTCCTTGATTGCTGGGTAATGATTTCTTACACTGATGCAGAATCTGCTCCTTATAACTTGTGCCCGTTGTTCTGAGTCCTGTTTTACAGAACTGCACAAAACAGGTAGCTTCCTTCTTTTCTCTTACAGTCCTTCTCCCAACTACGGATGGCCGTTCTCATCTTGCATTTGCTTCTCTTCTTCAGGCTGACCACCCCTAATTCCTTTAAGCCTTCATCACAGAATAGCATGGTTTTACTAACTATCTTGGTTGTCTTCCTTTGGAAACATACTAGTTTTCAATATGATGTTTAAAATGTAGTACTCAGAAATGACAACAAAGCTCCTGCAGCTATCCGTCTAGTACAGAGTTCAATGGGACAACGACCGCCCTGAACCTGGGCATGGCACTCCCACTACTCCGGCCTGAATGGGCATCACCTCTTTGGCAGCCCAGCCACGCTGCTGGCTCACTTGAAGCATGCAATGAAAATCCTCAGATGTTTTTCACACAAGTTGGTACCAAGTTATTACACCCACCCTGTATTTATGCAATGGACTTTTAAAACCCAATTGAAAAATTTTACTTTTATCCTGTTAATATTTCATCTTCTTTTTTCCAGCCAACAAGACAGCCTGTTAGGGTATCTTGTCTCTTGTTCTGTCTTTATCACATTAGTTTACAACTTTGAATATCTGCAAATTTGAAGCATGTTTCTTCAACTCCCTCTAAACTGTTGATGCAAATATTGGACGGCACGTTTGGATCTCTCTGTAAGAATGCGCTAGGGACCACCTACTGGCTGACATAGAGACATTTATCAGTAATTGTTTAAACAGCTGGGAATCTAAATGTCCACATGTCTCCTCTATACTCCAATGAAAGTGTTTCCTGATTGTAAAAAGCAACCTTCCCCACAGAATTCCCTATGGACCATACAACTCCAAATACCCTGGCCATAAGAGCCTCTTTGGTTAAAAAAATGCCATTTGATTTTCAGCTTCATAGGCTTCCCTTAGCTTCCATGACTGAACTGTGGTCTTCGTTGAGTACTGCTACAAATACGCTTCCCAAAAAGTCTAAGAAGCATGTCAGATAGTGATGTCACAACCTTTAGGAGTTCCTCATGAATTAGGAAGCCAAGCCGTCATGTGGAGATGTACCAATTTGTTCCATAGTTGGTGGCTGTGGGTGTGAGGAGTGGAGTGGAGCATATAAAACGTGCATAGTCATCTAGTGCCTAGATCTTTGTTTCTAACACCATTCTCCAATAAAAGGAACCAGCAGGCCGGCCCCGTGGCTTAGCGGTTAAGTGCGCACGCTCTGCTGCTGGCGGCCCAGGTTTGGATCCCGGGCGCGCACCGACGCACCGCTTCTCCGGCCATGCTGAGGCCACGTCCCACGTACAGCAACCAGAAGAATGTGCAACTATGACATACAACTATCTACTGGGGCTTTGGGGGGAAAAAATTAAAAACAAAATAAAATAAAATATTTAAAAATAAATAAATAAAAAATAAATAAAAGGAACCAGTGCTCCTTGAAGAAATGGCTGATTCTAGGACAGGGGCAGGAAATATCCAAGATGAGCTTAGAGTATTTTGTAGTGCAGAAAGCAAGGAAGTATTTAAGAAAAAAACCCAACCCAACACTATGGGGTATGGCAAAGGGAAGAAGCCAACTGAAAGAGCTCTCAATAACCAAAGCTGGAATAACTTGAACAAAATAAAATAGTATTGGATATAACTCAAAGTATAGTATAAACATCTACGAGGCCATACGGATATTTAAAAAGTGATTGAATAGATGAATAAATGGGGGACAACAGACCAATCTCCAGTACAGAAGAATTCCAAATTTATGGAGATACTCCTTAAGTGTGGATTGTGCACAGTGACATCCTTCTAAAGAGTACAGTATGTAAAGGAAGAAAAAGAGTATCTTTACATATAGAAATCTGACAAACACTACTTCAGCCAGGTGATAAGATTCACATCAACAGCGATAAGTCATATAGATAGTATGTACCCTTGATACAACGTGATGGGAACAGCACTTTACCTCTATGGTCTTCTCAAAACCCATAATCCAAGTGTAATCATGAGAAAAACATCAGATAAATTTGAATTGAGGGATGTTTTACAAAATACTCCTCAAAACTGTTAAAAATAAATTTAACTGTTAAAACTCATCAAAAATAAGGAAAGTCTGAGAAACTGCCACAGCCAAGAGGAGCCTAAGGAGACATGATGACTAAATGTAATGTGGTGTTCTGGATGGGGTCTTGGAACAGAAAAAGGACATTAGGTACACAAGTAAGGAAATCGGAATAAATTATGGACATTAGTTAACAATAACGTGTCAATACTGGTTCATTAATTGTGACAAATATACATACTAATGTAAGATGTTAATAATAGAGGGAACTGGCTGTGGGATACATCCTCTCCGTACTACCTTCACAACTTTTCTGTAGATCTAAGTCTATTCTAAAATAAAAATTTATTAAGGAAAGAAAGGTCATGGTGTGTTGTGTGGGTGTGAGTTAGAGGGGAGATAAATAGAGAGAAAGAAAAAGAGACAGGAAAACACAGTCTATTATATAAGAACTACCTTCAAAAGTTTACTTGCATAAGATTTGACCTTTGAAAACGTTGAACAGTGGAGCTGAAATTGGAGGTGAGCCATGCTTATCCATTGGAAAGGCTCCAGCTTCTTAAATTAGCATTTTGATTCCAATTAAACCCTCATCCCTATAGTGTGGATTTAACCCTAAAATTTCTTGTCATTGTTGTACCCCTTTCCCCTCATCTCTATTGATGTGAAAAATATTTCAAAGAATATATTCATTAAGCCAAAAAACCTAACCCTGACATTAACAAATAATTTTTTTCTATAAACAGACAATGTTACATTCTTTTTAAAAATTCTGTGCTCCTTGTTTTATTGACTGAAAATCACATGTGCAGTTAAGTAGCACTAATAGTATATTAAACAATGAAGATTTGCTCCTAGTACACTAGCCTGCATTCTTTAGAAACTATTGACGCTAGTCTGGTAGTAAAGAAGACTTCTTATTTTACTCATATGGGAAGCAATTGGTGAGCCATAGGGAATGACAGCTCGACTTCTAAGAATGGAATTATGGGTTTTGAAGGCACTTGTTAATTTCCATTCTGATTAATAATCAATTCTGATTAATGATCGATTTCTTGGGTCTTCACTATGATCATATGTATGAAATAGCAAAAGAAAAGGTTGTGTGTGTTTTGCTGTGTGTGAATTCCGATGTCCCCAGTCACAGAGAGGCCTGGAGGAAACTGAGGTAGGCAAAGCTTAACTCTGATACCCCCATTCTCTTTTTTTGGTGCTTTTCATTCCTTGATACATGCAGATTCTATCGCCATATAAGGCCAATTCTATCTAAAAACACTAATTAACAACAGTACATGAAGAAAATATTCTTCACGTATTTGGAAACCATGTCTCCCCGTGACTTTTCACCCTGAGCACACTAGTAAGTTGTAAGTATCTTGCCTGGTCACAGTGGCTGCTGTGAGAGGTCTGGGGGTCACAATCGCAAGGCTGACATCCTCTCCTGGGGACCAGATTCCAGTATCCATCAGCACAACGGTCACAGGCCTGGCCCGTGACGTTTGGCAGACAAGGGCATGTGCCAGTGTAAGGGTCACAGAGGCAAGCTCCCTGGTCAGGGGGACACTCAGCAGGATTCACGCCGGAAGGATGGCAGGAGCATCCTGGGATAACAGAGCCGTTGTTGGAGGTAAATTCAGTGATAACACTGGCCTTCAACAAACCTTACAAACAGCTTTTATGACCTGGATGTACCATTTCTCCAAAGGGCTCAAGGAAGAAACATCTTAAAACAGTACAGAATTTATCAAAGAATCTAAGTAGGTTGAGCCCAATCAACTGTTTTTGATCTCCCAAAAGAGCAGTTTCACATGGTTCTGCCTACTATGTTCCAAGAGCTCACAATTAGGATGACTGAAAATCTCCCTTTTTCCTCATGCCATTCACCAAAGTTTCATTTATTTAAATGATCTGAAAAAAAAAATGATTTACTAAATTGACTTGGATGAACTGAATAGTTAAATATCTCCTAAAAATGAGCAGGTTACTCCTCCTTTAAAATCCTTGTCTTCTTCTACATCAGTGATTCCATATTTATACATTCAAGTCACTTGATGAGCTGGTTACAGTGCAGATTCGTGGGCCTCACTCCCAGAGGTTCACTTCAATGGGCCTGTTAATAACCCACCCCATCCCCAGGTGATTCTGGCATAGAGCGCTATGGAACACACTTTGAGAAACAACACTCCGAATCTACTAGGGCAGGTGTTGAAGGCAATAGTCACAAAAGGCAAACCAACACCAGTGAGTACAATGTAGCTGCGTCTGAAATACCGATGGTGGCACTGCACCCATTTCTGCTGATGAGTTCAGCGCACTACTGGCCTAACTGAAACGAGCATGGGAGAGCTGCCACTACATTTATGAGCTGCCATTCTGCTGCCACATTTCCCCCCAGGAGCCTTGCAGACTTACTTCTGCAGGTCTGATTGACGGCAGATCCAAAGTGACCTGGCTTGCAGAGCTGGCAGTTGGGTCCATGAGTGTTGTGCAGACATCTGAGGCACTCCCCTGTTACCTGGCTGCAGGACTTGGGATCACTTACATCAATGTTGTTGTTGCAGGCACATGGCCTGCAAGGTGCTCCGGAAATTCTTGGATTTCCATAGAAACCAGCAGAGCATTCTCCACACTGCTTACCTGAAAGAAGAGGAGAGGAAAAAGGAATGAAATGAGTGGTGTGTGCGTGTGTGTGTGTGTGTGTGTGTGTGTGTGTGTGTGTGTTGGGAGAGGAGGGTGGAGATTGATATAAATGGAAAATAATTGGGCTTCTCTAGGGATAATGAGAGGTCACACATTGGGATGAATAAGGAAAGGTGTTCTAAATTAAAACAGAACCTTCATTTTAATTTATTATCCATTCAGAGAACAAAATGATTATTCAGAGCTAAAAAGTCCTTGGTGAAGAATGGATTCTAGTTTTATTTTAAAAACTATGGAATTGTAGGCACAGGATTCCTGTATCCTTATAAAACCAGGGTCACTCTTGTGTGCCTGAGGACCCAAAGCTAATCTCAGCCCCTCTTTTCCCTGGGACACCCCAACCCTCACCTGGTCCTAGAGGTGAAACAGCAGCAGCCTGAGATACGTGTCTAAAAGTGAAGACTGATAAGAGTAGTTTTCTTGATATAGGAGCCCCCGAGGGTGTTTTTACTAAGGGCTGTATGGAGAAACCATCCCTTCTTTCCTACATTCTCTACCCTTCCAACCACGAGGGAACCACAGTCTTTTAGGGGCCCAAAACGTGGGTCTACTCTCCATATTTTGGGTCATCCCATTTAGAAATGCTCTCTTAGCCCAATCATGGTCTCATTTCTTAAAAACTGACCAGCCAAGCCAAAGTGTACATGGAGAAGAGACTATAAGGGAAGAGGTAAGAATTAACTAGAGGCATGTGTAACCTTATAGGTAACAAATAAGAAAAAAATTAGCCAGGTAATTTATTATCATGATGGTAATTATCACTGAAGAAAATAATAGCATGATATTTTCTGATTAAATAAAGTAGACTTTATAAGTTTTTTCCTTGTTTGTATTATATATTTACACTCATGCTTAAACTCTTCAAAATAAATCTTTTGATTGAGCCAGAGACACAAATATTGAACTGACTTATGCAATGTCTGTACAATGCCCAAATTAGTGCATTAGTTTTATCTGTGAAATATCAGTCAAATCGATTGCTTGGAGTTATACAAAGGAAGCATTTGACTGATTAAAAGTTTTTACTTTTTAATTGTTTATGTTATATGTAATGTATATATAACATATATATGTTACTTAATCACATATATATATCTTACTTAACATATGTTGATTTTATTTTAAATAAATTAATTTGACTCGAACTCATTTGGTCAGTTAGTTTTCCAGAACATTATTTAAGAACAGTTATAGCTCAGTGGAGTTTTTAATTGTCATTGGTTTTTGAATTATTCAAAGTCTTTTTTCAATAGAGCAGCAATTTACCAAATTGTGTCTTCTTACCATTAATTTATATTATGCACCACTCTTTAGTCCAAGGCAGATAAGTTATGCATGAGTGATCACTTTTCAGATAGTAGTGTGGGACAGAAGAAAAAACCCATCATGAACTACACTGCATACCTGTATAACCTTGAAGACAACTGCAGATTACATCTGAGCCCCACAGATTCTGATAACAGGAATGGGCGAAATACTGATTGCTCGAGGGAACATCTGGACACGGGCAAGGACGGCAGGGCTGTCCTGAAGAATGATTTCCATAGTAACCATCGATGCACCTGTCAAGGCAGTTTCTTTTTACCAAAATGTTCCCAGGAAAAGCCTACATTAGCCAAGGTGGATTTGCTATGCTTTAGGACAGAGCAACTCTCAAAACTCAGTATTTTAGAAGATGCTCATTTGCTCTGTAAATGGATTTTTTTGCTTTATATTCAAAGTCTCAAGGTATAGTCATTAAACTCAGTGTAATAGCACTTAATTTACATGTCATATTTCAGGAACATAAAAAGCAAGGTGCCAGGCAAATGCCAGTTATTAATTTAATCAGATATTGTCTGGCTCATAATAAGATGTTTTGTTTTGTTTTTTTTTGTGAGGAAGGTTAGCCCTGAGCTAACATCTGTGCCCATCTTCCTCTATTTTGTATGTGGGACACCACCACAGCATGACTTGATGAGCGGTGTATAGGTCTGTGCCCGGGATCTGAACCCACAAACCCTGGGCTGCCGAAGCGGAGTGTGAAAACTTAACGACTACACCACCAGGCTAGCCCCCATAACAAAGATTTTGAAGGACAATGGAATGACATTCTATCTTCCTCACCCATAATCATCATTCTACACTCATATACTGTTGAGTCTCTACTCAACGGTCCTACAGAGAGTGTTGTGAGATCAGAACACAAGAAAAAATTAAAAATACAAGTGCATATGAATTCCATACCTCTCACAGTTTCTTCCAGTTGTAAAACCCCCACAGTTGAAGCACGACCCTGTCTCTGGATCACAAAGTTCAGCGAGCCCATTACAAAGGCAAGGACGGCAGTTGGGAAATCCAAAATAGCCTGCCAGGCACCCATCACAACGGCGGCCCACCACCTCTCCATAGCAGGGGCACTGTCCTGTTATTTGGTCACATACACTGCTCTTTGAGCCTTGAGGGTGGCAGTGACATGCTAGATAAAGCAAAGAGAACATGTTGGGGTAGGGGCCAGTGGTGTGCTGGCAAAAGAGGTACAGCTCTGATTTGCAGTCCCTAATTTTCCATATCATCCTGATCAGGGTGAACAAAGCGAGTCTGTAAAGTGCTTAGAACAGAGCCTGGCACGTACTGAGTGCCAGGTGTTTACTAAACAACAATTCACTGATTCATCCAATAAACAGTACATTGTGAACAACTGGGTCTTATAAACATTGTTTACACAGAGGAACTGAACAAGAAACGTGTTTTTAATGACTTGAACTTCCATATATTTTGGGAGTCAAACTTTAAGATTATAAAAAATGTGAGAACACTTTTCAGGATAGTCAGATTTTTCTTTTTCCTAGACGAGATACCAGGAGAGGCTCAATCCTTCTCTGGTAAATTGTTGAATCCTTTGAGCCAGTCTTGCCTATACAAAAATGTGATGCCTGTTTACAGGGTGGTACACGGAAGAACTGTTTGCTCCTTTGTGCATATCCCTTTGTGTATCTCAAGCACTTCATAATTTTTTTTCAAGAAAAGGAAAGAAGATCAATAATGGACCTAAGCGCCGTTTTCTGGGTAGGCAATGCCCAGGAAGGTATGCCATCTCTCTGAATCATGGCTGAAAAGATGTGTTCCCCTACCTGAAAGGAGAATTCATCTGCCTGGAGGTTTTCATGGTTCCTAAGGCAGGTTTCTATGGGGAACAGAACTTTCACTAACGGTTTACATCGTGAACAGAGAATTATACACCCCGAACATGACAGCCCTGAGAACTGAATTACCAGCTACAGCTGAAGCCCCGCCTAAGCCCTTATTAACAGGTGGCTTTTGAAATGAGTTCCAAGGCTGTTTGCAAGCCCAGCACCAGAAAGGGTAATATCCTGGTGACAGTGTCATCCCCTTTCTCGCCTTCCCAATCTCATCGTTGTTTTAGCCTTTCCAGCCACCGGGCATCCGTGCCAGATCATAAAGCTGGGTTTGCACAGCCAACTCCCTTCCCGGTGTTCCCGTATTCCACCCGGACTACCATCTATTTGATACAGACTGCAAACTCCCAGGAGCATGGACCATGTTTCTATCATCACTCATGGTTCCTAACAGAGGTCTGTTACACAATCGGTGCCCTTTGAACGGGTGAATGAAGTACGGTAGAAAAATCCTCAGTACATTTTATCTACATAGACAGACAGTCTGAATAATGTAGTCAAATTCCCAATCCCTTCCCTTTTTAAACTCCCCACGTTGATTTTCCTGCCATCAAAACTCCAAGGCTGTGACCAAGTGTGTTTCCCAATCTGCTTTTTGCTACGTACAGTGACAGCCATGATGCCCCAAACCGTAGCTTCCTGCTGAGCACCTGTCACAGCAGCGCCCGGCCACACGAGGCTTACACTGGCATTGGCCTCCCAGTCGGCTGCAGCTGGGCCCCATTGAGCCCTGGGGGTGACACTTGCAGGCTGCAGGGAACAAAAGAAGGAAGTCAGAGGTGAAGGAAGTGACAGAAGAGCCCCTCGTCCTGTTAGCAGCTTTCGGTCACCTCTCCTTCATTTAGTACCTCTCTAGTCCTTAACTCCCTCATCTGTTACAGCAGGATACTATAGGATCTACCTCACGGGATTAGAAGGATTAGAGACAATAATGCCTGCGAAGTACTTAGAACAGTGTTTGGCACCTAGTAAGTGCTCAATAAACATTACATAATAAACCTAACAATAAACGTTACTTAACACGTTAATGAAAGGCTTAAAAATTGTTTTAATAATTAATTGTTCCAATGTAATCATTATTATTGATATTGTTATTACTTCATCCCTGATGATCTATGTTGGTGCTGCACTATTCCTTTGATTTTCCGTTTTCCATATCTTGCAGGAGATTGTGGGCGTCCTGAAGCCATAGCCCAGCAGCATAATGGAGAAAGCATTTGCCTGGAACTCAGGGAGCCCAAGCTCTCAGGGTAGCTGTCACTCTGTAGCAGTGGTTCCCAACTAGGGGGAGATTTTGCCCCCAGGGCACATATGACAAAGTTCGGAGACATTTTTGGATGTCACAAGTAGGGGGAGGGTGTTACTGGTATCGGGTGGGCAGAGGGTAGGGATGCTGCTGACCATCCTGTAATGCACAGGACAGCCCCACCCCCCAACAAAGTAATATCTAGCCCCAAATTCAAAAGATCTGAACTAAGAAACCCTGCTCTCTATAGCTTAGTGAAATGGACAAGTCAGCTAATGTTTCTGGAGCCTAGTAGTCTCATTTATTACATGAAGGTGTGGGGATGAAAGAAGTTGTTTAGACTTCATTCCAGCCCTAAAATTCCAGGATTCCAAATGAATATTTTAGGACCATTGTTCCAGCAATCTAGCATCCCAATGCTACTGCAAATCTCCTCTTTTATACACTCACAGTACTGCATTATGATTCCAACATGTCAGCAGACTGCTCTGTGTATGTAATCATTGGGCAATTGGTATTTACACTGGTTGTATTGGAGCAGATGCTAAAATAAATTAAATCGATTCACTCACGTTCCAAAAAGCATTTGTACAGATAGCAGTGCTTCAGTAGAGCCCATTAGCTAGACACTCACCCACGGCCCCATTGTGCAGCCTGGCAGACGCGCTGACTATAAGCCTTTCACACGCACCAGGGAGCACCTGAGGTCTCGCTTCTGAGGCAATTTCAACGCAGTTGTGCAGCTGATATTCATCTAAATCCTGCTTGCTGCAGAAATTCTCCAGTGAATTGATTTGGGGAATAAGACCAAGCTTTTGAAATAATGAGAAAAGAAGACTTATGTTCATAACTGTCTATTGTTCAAGATTCTAGTTATGAAAATAAATAGATCTATGAGAATAATGGTTGCAAAGAGACTCAATTTAATCGTTTAAATTGCTTACAACTCAAGATTTTAAGATTTTCAATTTGTTTAAGAAATGTTTAAATATTTACACTTACTGACTTACGGCAAAGAAAATAAAATAGGCCTTTATCTTTTTACTGTCATTATTATATTTTTAACTTGCTAATACATTTGTCTTAGATTTGAAAGAGTTCTAAGTAGGCTACTTATGAGAAATTAAGAAATTATGGCTTATTGCACTCTAATTCCACAAAATTCTCCTTTAAAAAGTTTCGTCTTTTTCAATTACATATAACAGTGGTGTTCTACATCAAACTATATATGCCTCTTGGATATTCACAGACTAGATTAACATATCAAAGGCTCTGAGAAGTCCTGCAAGAAAGATATTTTTTTAAACTCAGTGTTTCCACACTTATTTAATCGTTTGGTTCTGTGTTCAAATAGTACTTCCTAACATCCCATAAAATCGGTATTTCACAGATGCATTTTGGGAATTGCTGGCTTAGACCACACAGCTTTATGGGGACAAATGCATCGTTATAAATTTATTCTCAAAGAGGAATCATCTATAGTTTAATATCTATGTAAAGAAAGGCTATACAGTTATATTTCTTGAGAAGATTTTTTCTAAGTTATATCCTAATACTATTTAAAATGTTTATTAATGGCTTAGATGACATAGTAGAGGACATTGTCAGTACAGCAGATTATTCACACCAAGTGGGTCATTTTGAACAACCGGTGGAAAAAACAGCATTGAAAATAAGTTTAATTCAGCAGGTCAAGTTAGGAAAGTGAGCCGATGGCACAGACAAGTCTCCCCTGGTCTTTTCGCTTTGTCCATTCTGAAACTAGTTTCCGTAGTCCTTTACGTCAGCCCTCTCCAGTTCTTCTGTGTGTCCTTTGACCCACTAGTGGGCAGAATGGCAACCCTGGCTGACTATTTCAGTGTCTCCGCTCCTCACCCCCTAACCTCATTCTCCCCACACTGCCGGCACGTGTCACTGCTTCCTGTTCCTCTCACTTCACAGAGAACACAGATCCCAGTAAGGGCACTGGAGCCTTCTGCTTCCTGCCCCCCTAACTCCTGTCTCACAGGCGCCACCCCATCCCCGACTCCCTGGCCTCATGAAGAAGAGGCAGACAGTGGAAGAGGGCTCCCCTGTCCTCCCCTCTGCCCTCAGGACACTTTTCCGTGGATTGTGCTTTCTTTCTTTAATCTATTCTTTTCAACTGGCATTTAAATGTGCTTAAATCTCTCTCATCTGTAAAATCATCTCCTTGATCTCATATATTCCTCCTGCCACTGCCCCGTCTCTGCTCCTTGACTCCTTGACAGCCAATTTCTTTTCTTTTTTCTTTTTTTTTGACAGGAAGATGAGCCCTGAGCTAACATCCATGCCAATCCTCCTCTTTTTGCTGAGGAAGACTGGCCCTGGGCTAACATCCATGCCCATCTTCCTCCACTTTATATGGGACGCGGCCACAGCATGACCTGACAAGTGGTGGGTCGGTGCGCGCCCGGGATCTGAACCAGCAGAGTGCGCGCACTTAACCGCTATGCCATGGGGCTGGCCCCAACAACAAAATTTCTTGAAAAATTGTTTCCTTGCCAATCTCACTGCCTCCTCTCCCATTTACTCTTCACACCAGTGTGATACCTCTTCCCACACCCATCCCTAAATGTTGGGGTTCCTCAGGGTTCTCTCATCAGCCCCCTTCTTATTCCACACCCACTCCCTAGGTGACGTTGACAACGCTGTGTCTTTGGTTACCATCCATAGATTTGTGACGTCTGAATTGACGTCTCCTGCCCCCATCTCAGTTGTGGCCTTCAGATCTGCACAGATAAGCCTATTGGCTGTCCCACACGCACTGCAAACCAAACACACCTGAAACCTGCTTTCCTTCCTGCACTCAGGAAATAATGCCACCATCTGCCAAGCTGCTCGGTGTAGAAGCAGAAGGTCATCTGTGAACCCTGCTTCTTCATCATCAACACTCCCCACCCCACATCCCACACATCAAGTCCATCACAAACCTGGTCAATCGGACCTCTTAAATGTGTCTAGGATGCGTTTACTGCTCTTCATTCCCCTGTTCACTTCCCTAATTTAGGCCACCTAGCTGACCGTAGTGACAGCCCAACAGAAGTCCCATCTTCCACTCTTGGAACCCATCTCCCTCCCCTATCAATTTTCTACCTTATAAAAATAGTGATTCTTTAAAAGGCAGTTTGTTCACGTAATCTCCTCCTTACAAATGTTCAGTGGCTTCCCATTGCCTTAGGATAAAATCCAAACTCAATCTCTTTTCATTCCACTACCCCCTCAACCTCTCAGCCCAGTGGTTCTCAGTATGAGAGGTATCGCCCCCAGGGGATGTTTTGGAAATTCCAAGGGGTGGTTTTGGTTGTCCTGGCACTTGGGGGAGATGTGTTACTGCCATTTCATGGGTGGGGATCAGAAATGCTAGACATTCTCACAAAAAGGAAAATCATCCCATGTCTCCTACAGTTTTTGAATGTTCCATTGAACATCCACGAAGGAGAAATTCCTGTTTCTAATCATGAGTTGAAAGCCTTACTCCACGTTTTTAAAACATGTTAAACATGTTTACAACACATCTGCTTTCATGGCTGTCTCATGTATAGTGATTCTACATGTATAAGCATCTCCCTACCTCATTACGTCTTCTGGTGTGTTCATGCCTGTGCATATACATATCGAAGTACAAATTATTTCTTTATAAATTACTTGCCTTTTATTTCTCTTTCATATTTGCACATTCCATTAGTATCATTTGAGAGTTATCTGTGCAGATAGGCTATAAAGCCTATGAATTTCATTTCAGGAGAGTAAAGAGTGTAATAAAATATTTGTAATAAAAAGGGGAGGTTGGGTCAGCTAAGGTTGAGAACCACTGCTTGAGCCACATTGTCATTTTCAGTTCAGTGACCTGTCACATCTCCCAGCACCTCTCACACTGTGCCGTCATTTCCTGTGTAATTGTCTGCCTCTCCCCTTTAGAGAGTAAGCCCCGCATGTCAGGGAAGATACTTGTCTGGTTTACACCTGCACCTACCACAGTGTCTAATTTATAACAAGTGCTTCATAAAAATTTGTTTCATAAGGAAGTATATGTACCTTTCTAGTCTTGTATCTTTAAGTTGATACTAAAACGACTCTGCATTCTCCAAACATAAGTTAAGTAGGGAGAAATGTGGAAGAAAGCCAGATGGGCTAGGGTTGGGATGCGGGCAGCCAACTAGGGATTAATTACAGTTATTGGTCTGAGCCAGTTTAGAGTTGGCCATTCCTACACCAAGCAGACAGAACAGATGACAAGAGTCCCTGTCAGCTATAGGATTTTGTAATACCATGACCTATTTCTTCTCCTAGAAACTTCTAAGAACTTTATGTTTACCAAGTATAGTCCACTCTTTAAAAGAAGAATGTCAGTTTTATATTCTAGAATGCCTAATATACTTTTGACTCTAAACTCATTTTATGGAAGCATGTATCATGTAACCAGGGTGACTGAAAAATTTTTAACTATCTCACTATGCTCGCCAAACAAACAAAGGGTATTTGTGCAGAAGGAGCACCCAGGGTTGAGCAAAGCTTTCATCTGCTCTTCTTGGGAATGCATCATAGTCCTGCATGCAAATGTTAATCTGTCTGCAGAGAAGAATGAACTTTGAAAGGGCCAAGTCCCAAGCAGTCAAGTATCTTCCCAGAGCAGCAAAATCGGTGGTGTGGAAATTATTGCATTAGTCTGTAATTATAAAATGCGGAACGACTTTCTCCTACTGGGCATCCTGGGTCAAGGACTACAGGGGACAGTACAGGTACCCTGCTCGGATCTTCCCATCTGCCAGCTGCTATGGCATCGGCTGCTAAAGGCTCACTGCTGTCCCCTTCTCCTGACAATTAGACGCAGCCACCTTGTCCAGGAGTTAATGCACTCACTGGGGACAGGGGTGGGGTGGTGAGACTGTAGCCAATGACTCAGGCACAGATAGGCCACCACTTTGCCTCCAGGTGGAACCAACTCTGTGGTGCATTCATGCTCCAGAGCTCCCTGCGGGGTTAGGCGGAAGCCATACCTTGGTGGATACCACACCCTTGCTTGGTTCCTTCTCCTGTCCTCTCCTATTCCCCTCCCTCCTCTTCTCCTGCAAGCACAACCTCCGTAAATCAGGTGCACCTGAGCCCCTGTATCAGCTTCAGCTTCTAGGAAATCTGACCTACAACAGGGAGGTAGGGCCTCTTCTGAGGTTTCTGACAGTTTGCCAAGAACAGGTTGCTCTTTTAATTTTTATTCAAGTTGCAAGGTTTTCATAGCTACATATAAGAGAACAATTGTGTGAAAACTGATCAAATGGACATATTTTTAAGTTAATTTCAAATTATCCGTTTATATTATGCATCTATAAAACATCATTGCAATGACTTAGTTTACACGCCTGTCTTCTGTATCAGTGTGAGAATTCTTTGTGGGCAAGAAGCATACTTTACACCCCAGGCCCCAACACAGTGTCTGGACCACATACACTCTGTGAGTGGGTGATGAGTGGATAATTTGGAGGGATGCATTTAAAACACGTCAAGTGATAATCTTTGGAATTTACAAAGTTTAGAAATATTTAGGGTATGGATTTAAAATGAGGAGTACCTTGGCTCTTATACATTTGAGTGTCATGACTGTTATTATTATTATAATAACATCCCTTTGTCATTTAAGACGTCCTTATTTTCTTCTTTTCCCTTTCTTTGCCAAACTTTTAGCTTTTCTCCCTGAATTAAACCTGTTGGATTTGATTTCCTTTCTTTGTAACTCATATGCTGGTTCGCGAGCACAGTTGTACCGAAAGCTCCTCAGCAGAGAGTATGAATTATG